CTTGAAGAAAGGGATGGGGAGAGGAATGCTCAAATATTTTAATGGTTTTTGCTCATATTACATATATTTGGTGAAATTTGATATTTTTTTCCAAAAACAGAGGGTCGGAGAAAGTCGGCCCGGCGCCTAAGACTAGGTTCCCGACTCTAAGATTCTACTCGGGTAGACCCCGCAATCAAAGTTATCCCTGCCGTGTATGACCAACATTGGATAAATTGTTTTTATCTGCAATTCTCATTCGTTTATAGTGGGCCAACCAATTAAAACAACCTACTCTGGTTAGGCGGGTCCAAACTACATAGTAAATTGTGATTTTTTTATTTGTATTATCTCGTGCTTTGTAGTTGAATAAAAATATGGAAATAAAAATATGAAATGAATAAGATTACTTCAAAGGTCTGCATGAGATGGAGATCAATTCTTGAACCCCACACTTGGATTTAACGGTTCTGTCAATATATCAGAAAGCGGTGGCTCTCGATCAGGATTTTAACCACTAAACATAATATTTTAGCGTTTTTTCTGAAATGCTTTTTTGTCGGCATATACATTTTGAATGAACAAGTATGTAATAAAAAATCCGTAAGTTTAAAGATTGTTGAATTATAGACCAAAACACGTTTGATTTCAAATAAATGAAACCGAATGCTTCTCACTCTGGTTAGTCCGGGGTACCCAGATTCACAATACAAAATTTTCTCTGTGTCATATTAGGACTCCAGGGACAAATAAAAAGATTGTGAACAAAGGTCGGATTTTTTGATCTTGTTAATTTACTCTAAACCAGTTCCTTAGCGGTTCTAATATGTGGCAGTATAAGTTTACGAAACCCCTAAGATTGGCGCTACGACATCTGCTCTATTTCCATTTGCTCTATGGTCATTTGCTCTAGTTCCATTTGCGCTATCAAGTCATTTGCTCTAGTTCCATTTGCGCTATCAAGCCATTTGCTCTATACGTCATTTGCTCTATACCTCATTTGCTCTATGACTAAACACGCCATTTGCTCTATAACCTAAAAATACACTATAAATAGCTTTTATTGGAATTCCTAAGCGTAACTTGACTATGAAATGCGGGAATTTTTTTTGGAAAATTCGCAAATTGCAGTTTTAATTAGTTCTTAAAAGTTCATCAAGACAGAGAGATTGTTCAATAATAAGAGGGGTAAAAAAGCCTAATATTTGGTGAAAACTATATTTAACTTGGTCTCACAAATACCAAACAAACAAAACTATTTCCAGGAAGATGGCGGAATAATGAAAATGTAGGCAGAATTGTAAAATTGTAAAATAGTAAAAATATAGTTTTAATATGATTGGATATTTATATAAATATTTTTATTGAGCAAATGACGTGTTAACTCATAGAGCAAATGTTGAGTAGAGCAATTGGACCATCACAGTCATAAAAATGTTTATAGAGCAAATGACGTGTTATGTCTTAGATCAATTGACGTATAGAGCAGATGACATATAGAGCAAACGTCGTGATCTATGAGCTATAGAGCAAATGGTTAATAGAGCAAATGAAACTAGAGCAAATGGCCGTAGAGCAAATGGAAATAGAGCAGATGTCGTAGCGCCCTAAGATTTAAATACAAGAAGAAACTCGAAAGTGTATTGTTTATTTGACTTGTTTTTGATTACATGTATAATGAATATTGATAAAGACAAAAAAAAATGTAATCCAAATTTTCAGGGAAAATTGTCAGTGTTAAGCAATCCACCTCCAACTTCGGAGCTTGAGCACGCCCTGTCCTCCCCCGGGACTAACTCTCCGGGTTCTGATATGCCCACCTACCCTGATCTACCTGACTCTGTGGCAAGAGATAGGAAGAATGGAACATTTAGTAAAGAGAAGCCAGGCCTAGTGCAGGTAAACAGTGGGACCTATAAAACTGTGGAATTGGAAGCGACATTTAATGTTATTTTAAAACAAATAGTTCAACAAGTATCCTGAAACTTAATTTACTAATTTAAATGTGTCTATATACAGTTTCATGATCATTGGATCATTTAAAAGTGTTGATCTGCCAAACTACGGTGGTAGGCGATTATATCAATATAATGAAGACGACTTCTTTTATTTATTTTAAACAAGCTTTTTTTCGAATAAGAGTTTACAAGCAATTAAAGAGAAGATTTTTTAATTGACAGCTTCTCTTGGTTCAATGTTTTTTTGTGAGTCCATACTGTTTAACAGCTTGATATAAATGTAAATTTAAATTGAAAGTCGTCTTCAAAATATTGCGATAATCGACAACACCGGATCAAATCTTTAAAATAATAGTCCATTAAAATGTTTATTATTCTAAAAATGGCACATATCTTTAATATGCAAAAATGAGGCTTACTAATATTTAAGCAAAGTGACACTATATAGTGAAAAACAACCGTCTCAAATATTTTGAGAAATTTAACAAGTGTTCAATCATCGTTTATCGGTTATTGGTCCCACCTTTCCAACCTCTTCCTTTAACGTACAATGCTTTGCTTAATCATCAAAGTTTTATGAATTAATGGTTTTTAAAAGTAATTTTATATTGTCGTGTCACTGGTACTTACACATGCAGTGACAAATATTTTTTATTTCCCTTATTTTTGTATTGGTGTACAGACAGCAAGACAAATATTGCACACACTTCACAGACGAATATTGTACAGTATAAACAGCTTACAAGTAGAAATACAGAGTGTCCCAATAAACATGGGAATTCAGCGACGACATCGATATCGTCTTCTTAAATAATTCTTTGATTTAGAATACTAATACCTACTGGGAAAGCTGTAATCTGTAAGAGTTTCTTCTGCATGTTCACATTTTGTTTGTTTATGTTTTGACTGCATAAGGGTGTACATATTAAAACAAAAAATTACAGTATACAAACAGAGTAAACTTGTCCGTCTTCATAGTTCAATTTGCGGAGACATTATAGACACATCTATGGCTTTTAAAATTAGGCATTACAAAGCTAATCCATAACAAAGACGAAATCGAATTCGTAACTGAATTCCCATGTTTTTTGGGACACTCTGTAGATTGTTAAACATACTAATTGCATTCTAAACTAGAAAACAGAAAGACATATGCCTATATACTATCCATAATGTAGACATTTGGATAGTAAGATTTTTACTAGACGGATAGTTAGATAGCTAGTTCTTTGCAAACACATTTAAACATATTATATCTACATATTTGTATTTTTTTATATAGTTACATAGATACATATATGAGAGGCTTTCAATCATCTATTTAAATTGATCTAAATTGAAACAAAATGAATTTTTGTCCGCAAATTTCTATCTTTGTAACTTTCTATCCTTGTGAATCCCAAGGTTATAATGCAAGGAAAGTTAATTGCAGTTGAGTATACTCTGCGTACATATTGAAACCAGTTCTCTCTGGGTGGACTTTGTAAACAAGAATAGATGCATCAGTGTTTGTTTAGTATCCGAGGAGATAAGAGCATTTCATTTTGATAATTTTGATAATTGACATAATAGTTTCCTATGACCAGAATATTTCATTGATTTTATATGTAAAAGATGGATCCCATGTCAGGCTTCGACATCCGTCTTGTGTTTACATTACCGCCCAGAGACAGTACACTCCAGTACAAAAGATGCGTACACCTCTGAAATGACTTTCCTTGCATTACAACCTTGGTAAATCATATCTATTTATCTATCTCTCTTAAGGAAAATAATAATAATAATAAAAATAAAAATTCAAAAGAGGAAGGGAAGGATTCTTTAAAATTTTAAGCTATTTACAATTTAATTACTTTATAATAAAGCTAGAAACATGCGCACTTGAAGTTGAAGTCGATCCAGTCTAGAAAATTGATGCATGATGTTTATAGCTATCTGGATAATTTTGATATTGAGTTTATTCTGATACAGTCAGCACATACTTTGGATACAGAAAGTTTCGCGTGATATAATTATAGAAAACTAAACAAAAATTTCCTGTGATTACTGATAGCAAATATCGAAGTGTGTTCTATAGAAGAACCCTATTAAAGAGACTGTAAGTGTTATTTCAAGTGACCCTCCATTCAAAGAGGGGCATCCTTATTCCTCAATTCACAACAGTACCCTTTAGATCTGGGACTGATCAAGGATGACAGACTTTTCATTAATTATCTACAAAAACGATTGCAATTGTTAATTACTTTGTTTGCGATGTTTTATGTTTAAGGAATACTAATATTGTCTTTCTAGAGGTAGCAGAATATAAATATTCGCTTGAAAACCACCTTGTACAATGAATATTCTAGATTTTTGGGCTTATTTCTTACAGTTCACTTGAAATTACACTCACAGTCCCTTTAAGTTCACTTTTAATGATACAATTATAAAATTAAAATCGGCACTCCAACGTTGTAAAGCTTTTTGTAAACTGTCCTTGTTGACAAAAAACTCGCACTAAAGTTTGGGTTTTTATCTCCTCTTCAGTCTTATAGAAAATGGCAAAAATAATGTTTTAGAATTAAGTTTGTAGGGACATGTGTAATATTCCTTCCAAACATTAGATAATATATTATATTTCAGCTTGAGCACAGTACAATACAGACCGGTAAACCCTGTGATATTGAGAAGATAACAATCCCTGGTAAACAAAAGAAATGTTCTTGTTGTCTTATCCTTTAATTAAATATGCATATGTATATTTATTATAAATTGCATATTTAAGTCTAAAACTAAAGAATGGAAATGAATGTACATCATCTCAGATTTGGAAGAAAACTGAATGTCAAATTTTCTTTTCATAACAAGACAGCAAATTTTCTGTATTCGTTATTTAGTTTTAGACTAAGATTATTACAAATATTTAGTCTCTGTTTTGAATTTTTAAAGTTAACTTCTTTTGACTTTCTTAATTCTCGACTTGTCTTAAAATTCCTTTTTTGTCATTACCGTAACCTTGTAATGAATCTCCTATTTTAATCCCATTTTTGTAAATTCTCGCTTATTTTTTTTCTGTTTTCTTTCTTAGTTTTATTTGTTAATCTTTAATGTTTCCGATACCTTACTTTGAAAATATATTTTTAATTATTTCTTTTTACTTCTCATATTTATGGGCTTCATGCACAATCTCCATTTTATGGGTTTAACTGATCCTTGTGTATTATAAACTAGTGCCTTTTTATTTACATAAGACCAAATTTTCAATCTACGGATAAATTATCTGTAGTTTAGCGTCTATGCATTTGTGAACATCGTAGATTTTGTAAAAGCTATTATTATATTAACTAACATAATCTGATGTACATAAACCTATTATTGAATCTTCTATCGATGTGTTGTCTGTGTAAAACTGTTTAACAATTTAGTACATAAACTGTATACAATTCATAACACTTCATATCACATATTAGATTCTAGCAATGTATGTAGTCAAATCATTAAAAATTAAGAAAGATTTCAAATATTTTCCAGACTTTGGTAGCATTCGAGGTTTATCTTTTCATTCATTTTTTATTTATTTCATACTCTGCACTTAGGTTCTAATAGTTGAGATTTTTTATCAAAACTGGAACTATTTTACTACTCTGCACTTAGGTTCTAATAGTTGAGGTTTTTATCAAAACTGGAACTATTTTACCACTCTGCACTTAGGTTCTAATAGTTGAGGTTTTTATCAAAACTGGAACTATTTTTGTTTTTTGTCTCAAAACTTTATTTAAACACTATAATCCATCAAATTTTAGATCAAAATTAATATGAAGTTGATCAAATGCTTGAAATATCTACACCTAAATAACTAAAAACAAAATCTATATACAATCATGTTTTCAAGCTTTACAATGGTGGATAGTTTATTTTTGTCATATTTGTGTTCTCTGTCATAAAAACAAACCTATCTAGTCTTGCCAAAATATTACAAAAATTGTTTTGCAAATGAAGAAATATCCCCTTTAACCCTATTTTCACTTAAAGAGATACAACTAGTTTATTAACATTTATTCTGTTGATTAATTTTATTTATTAGAATTCTCAAAAAAGTAAATTTTTTCAATTCGTTTTAAGAAAGTCCTTTCTATAACATTATTAGTTTCCTTTCTATAATTTTATTCCGGAGTTAAATCAATTTTTATCTTTTTTAATTATAAATTTGTGAATTAATATCAAAATATAAATGTTTATTAATACTTTATATGTCGATGATATTGTAATGTGTATTTACGCCTTTTTTCCGAGATTTTACAATTGTATGTCATTGGTCAATGGTCAAGTACATTATATAAGAATGTACATTGTACAATTTACATGAATTTACAGTAAGTACATAATTCATGTACACCGAGGAACGGTACCAACATCACTTTTTTCTAAAACACAACGCAGACATTCTATTAAATGTATGCTGATGTTCTGTGTTTTATATACAGTATTGTTTGTTCATTATACAATCTACAAAAGTTAATGATGCAACATTTTCTGAAACATTTGTCATTTTTGTCTTTCTATTATTCTTGTACTTAGTCGAATTTTTAAAAATAAATTTTTCAATATTGCTTAGTTTTATTTAACAAATTTAAATATTAAATGTACATAACTCCAAACTATCAATACATAGCTTTAAAAATGCATAAAGTGATTGTAATGATTACAATTGTACTGCTTGTCCTACATTATAAAACCGATTTACTATGTGACAGAATCATTTAGAGGTAATGAAAAAATTTTAATTTTGTTGTTCTTCCTGTTAAAAATATCCTTTCTTGACTTTTTTTCTTACGTTCAAGCTCTTTTTCTTTTTTCTCTAATCTTTCCTTTCTCCCTCTTTAACCTTTCCTTTTTCATCTCCAACCGTTTCTTTTTCCCTCTCCAACCTTTCCTTTCTTCATCTCCAACCTTTCCTTTCTTCATCTCCAACCTTTCCTTTCTTCATCTCCAACCTTTCCTTTCTTCATCTCCAACTTTTCCTTTCTTCATCTCCAACCTTTCCTTTATTCATCTCCAACCTTTCCTTTCTTCAACTCCAACCTTTCCATTCTTCATCTCCAACCTTTCCTTTATTCATCTCCAACCTTTTCTTTCTTCATCTCCAACCGTTTCTTTTTCCCTCTCCAAGCTTTCCTTTATTCATCTCCAACCTTTCCTTTATTCATCTCCAACCTTTCCTTTATTCATTTCCAACCTTTCCTTTCTTCATCTCCAACCTTTTCTTTCTTTATCTCCAACCTTTTCTTTTTCTTTCTCCAACCTTTCCTTTATTCATCTCCAAGCTTTCCTTTATTCATCTCAAACCTTTCCTTTATTCATCTCCAACCTTTCCTTTCTTCATCTCCAACCTTTCCTTTCTTCATCTAAAATCTTTCCTTTATTCCTCTCCAACCTTTCCTTTATTCATCTCCAACCTTTCTTTTATTCATCTCCACCCTTTCATTTCCTCATCTCCTTTCCTTTCCTCATCTCTTTTTTCTTCTCCAACTTTTCTTTTCTTCTTCATCCTTTCCTTTCTTCTTCTTAAATCTTTCCTTTATTCCTTTCTTTCTTTATTTCTTTCTTTCTTTACAGCCTTTCCTTTTTCCTCTAAAACCTTTACTTTCTTCTTTGCCGAAAATTGCAACTTTTCCTTTCCGACCTTTCCTTTTCTCTTCTTTAACCCTTTTCTTTTTTCCTTTCCAGCCTTTCCTTTCCCCCTATCCTATCTTCCTCTCCAACCTTTTCTTTCTTCTTCATCAACCTTTCAAACAAATCATCCTTTCTATCCATCTTCAACTTTACATTAACTCTTCCTATCTACCTCTCTAAGCCACTTTTCTTTATTTCCAGACCATCCTTTCTATCTTTCCAACCAACTTATTTTCCAGTCCATCCTCTATTTCTTTTCAACCCATCTTTTCTTTCTTGCTATCACATCCTTTCTTTCTATTCCACCCATCCTTTCTTTCTTTCCCACCCATCCCTGCTTTCTTTCCATAACATCTCTTCTTTTTATTCAACCCAAACTTTCGTACTTTTCAACCCTTCCTTTCTTTCCAACCAATTTTTTCTTTCTGACCAATCCATTATACTTTTCTTTCCAATTCATTCTACTTTTCTTTCCAATCCCTCCTTTCTTTCTTTCCACTCCATTATACTTTTCTTTCCAATCCATTCTACTTTTCTTTCCAATCCCTCCTTTCTTTCTTTTCACTCCATTATAATTTTCTTTCCAATCACTCCTTTCTTTCCAATCCATTATACTTTTCTTTCCAATCCCTCCTTTCTTTCTTTCCAATCCGTCCTTTCTTTCCAACCCATCAATTTTTTTTCTTTCTAACCCATCTTTTCTTTCTTTCCAACCCATCCTATCTTTCTTTCCAATCCATTCTTTTCTTTCCAACCCATCCTTTCTTTCTTTCCAATCCATCCTTTCTTTCCAACCCATCGTTTTTTTTCTTTCTAACCCATCTTTTCTTTCTTTCCAACCCATCCTATCTTTCTTTCCAATCCATTTTTTTCTTTCCAACCCATCCTTTCTTTCTTTCCAACAAATTTCCCCGCCCTTTCTTCCTTTGTATTTGTACTTTTTCTGATTTAGCTGTCCTATATTAGCTGTCCTATATTTTCCAATAATTAAACCGTTCCTTGATGCAGAACTAATCATATCAGGATACTTGTTCAGTAGACTCATAGATACTCCGTTGGACCAACCAAACCCTTCCTAAAAATACATGTAAAAATGTATAAAGTAGTAATCTCTCTGTTTGGGTGAATGCCCGATTATAACTTTTGAATTTACTGGGTTGACTTTCACTGAGAAAGTTTAGTTTCCAAACTGCCCACCCCGGATTTCCAGAGTACCTATTATTTTTTAATGTAAAGTCGAATCCTGAACCCCTTGAACCGATCTGTCTCAAATTTTGATTAGGGAACTCGGCGGGACCACAAAAATGCTCTTAGTATGGTTTATTATTATACATTATAAATTTCATGGTTTTACTAATAAAGAAAGTTTAGTTTCCATGCAAAGCTTGCCTCACAAGCTAGTAGGCATATACGTATTATACATAATATACAAAAACATATTATACCTGTACTCCATACTCTCCTCCACTCCCTGCTTTACCAACCTTTTCACAATCATACTTCTCAAACATCGTCCTGATACAACAATATATATAGGTTTCAAGGAATTATGCATACTTTTTATAGGTAAAATATTATTTAATTCCTACATCTTTGCAACCTAATGTCGTTGTTAAATTTATTTGTTAAAGTGTTTGAAATATCAGTGGTTTAGATTATTTGGTCGCAAAGATATAGGGTTCGACAAAATTTGAGTTTGTGTCAAAGACGCAAATCCTTTTTAAAATATCTTCGGTATTATATATGTAGAAGGTGTCATGGGGGGGGGGGGGTAATAGCCCTAATCGCTCATATCATAAGTCAAGTCAACAATCTCTTAAGGTTGTTGCAAAATGTGCTGCACCCTCTCACGCAAACATCTGTCAGTATTTTGCAATATATCTAAAATGTAAATGTTTTATAAAACTACATAAATGTTTTAAGAAATCAGTGGTAACACCAAAGCCCAAGGCCTTTGCGACACACAGACTCGGTTTTGATAGTTGAATCACAAATTTTGTGACTGAAAACATTGTTGCTCACCCATTCTCTTGTGCCGAAGCATAAACATTTCTAATGTATTTTTCAGCAATTTCTCGGCCTAGTAAAAAAATCCATCAGTAAAAATAAAAACTTCTTTTATAGACCTATTTCTAATACAATAGTAAGCGATTATATCAATAAAATGAAGACGACTTTCGATTTCAATTTTAACTTCTATCAAGCTGTTAAACAGCATGGATGCGATTGAAAATAAAAGTCAAGAGAAGCTGCCAATTAAAGAAGCTTCTCTTTGATTACTGTAAACTTAAGTAATTTTAAAAAAACCTGTAACAATCAAAACTTAAATAAAAGTCGTCTTTATTGTATTGATATAATCGCCTACCACCGTAGATTTTAAGATTAAAGAAAGATAAAAATGCTGATAATATTTTACTCAAGATTTTTAAAAAGAAAAATGGCATAAATATATAATGTATATAGGCTCCAATTTAAGAATAAAACACACCTATTTCCCTGCTCTCCGTTAGGTTTAATTCCTCCATGGAAGTCACAAATACTTCAACCTTAAAATATCAAAAAATTGTTTGGTCGGAGTAAAAAGAAATCTAACAATAAGATATGTTTTTTTTTCTTCTTGAAACATCTTTGATTTTGATTTAGTGGTCTGGAGCCTGGTATGTTATATGATAATTCAACCGTATATTAAAATAGAATGATATGTCTGACCAGGGGTGGCCAAACGTTAGGGAAGTCCCACTGTTGAGGTTGTTTTGTTGTGTTGTAAAGTGAAGTTGGAAGACCACCAGGGAATATAGTTACTCCAGAAGATACAATATTCTCAAGAACTCTGAAAACAATTTATATTTAAATATATATTTTATTCTCCAATTACAGACAATAAATAAAAAATAAAAATTAAACTATTTGACCCCTTAAATATTCCCTGAACACTTGTTTTTCCTATTTTTAATAATTTTACAGTTTACCTTGATGCATTAATCGTTTCATGATATGCTTGACCATATAATGGGAACAGATTACTTGGATAAAACTCCCTTTAAAATAAAAAGATTTAAAAGATTAAGCACAAAATTATTCTTTTCTAATTATTAAAGGGAGTGTTAGCGAAAAATGAAAGAGGGTATTGGCTTCAGGCCAAAAATAAGCGCTTTTGATTGCTACCAATCTTACTTCTATCTTTTGCGTCTATAAGGAGAAAATTGTTAAAAATGACTTTTACCGAAAAATGTTTCGTCCAAAAATTCAGAGAGATGCTTAACAGTCAACTCATATCGTAATTAAATTCCAAACAAATCATTCAGATATTAAAAACAATTGTCATAAATTATTTTTCGACGCATTCTATATATAGTTAATACTTCATAATATTTTTTATTTTTTATGATCTGAGAGTTACTCTTGAAAACATTTAATCCTGTTTCGAAGATTTTTGATAATTAAGACGACATTTTCATATTTTCCAGGAATATCTGAATAAGTTTGTAATTAAATTGATTAATTTACTATCCGAGTTGAATGTTGCAACTTTCCGAATTTGTATGGACACTACGTTCTTCGGTCTGAGTCGTTTTTAACAATTTTCTCATTATAGACGCAACAGATAGAAGTGAGATTAGAAGCGCTAAAAGCGCTTATTTTTTGCCGTAAACCTATACCCCCTTTCATTTTTCGTGAACATTTCCCTTAATGTCGAAAACTATAAACCTTTTGTGCTTGTTGGTTTTCAAATTGTAATCATACCACATGGAGTCATCTTCATTCCATAGAACTGCTCTGAAATAATGAAATATTTGTTGAGAATATTTATCTTTAAAAATAGTTTTATGAAAAATGCGAAGAAGTTATTGAAATTATTAGAGAATTTCTGAAATTTTGTTTGGATGCTTAACTTATCTTTAGCGGTGTAAAAAATGAATTTTTAAAGAAATTTTTTCTAAGCAGTCTCTTTTTACCTTATAGCACTCTTTAACTGTAATGCAATATCCTTGTATTTCTTTGCTTCATCTGCTCTTCCAAGATCTTCAAAATATTCGCCAAGAATTGCAGCATTTCTACCAAATGTAAATTGTCTCAGAGATTACATTTTTGTGAATTGTGATATTTTTTATATTTAATGTAAAGTTGAAATTGATGAAAACCTGGCCCCTCATGAGAATTTATCGTATCAAAAATAATTAAATCTTCATGTAATAAATATTTCATTTGATTTGAAAGTATCAAGTATACTATAATAGGAATGTTTAGGTATACTAGTGTATTATTGCATATCAAGAATAATTGTAAATGATTATATGAAGTATATTTGTAAAGGATTATATTAAGTTTACTTGTAAAAGATTGTATTAATTATACTAGTAAAGGATTGTGTTATGTTAACTTGTAAATGATTGTATTATTCATGCAAGTAAATGATTGTAATAAGTATACTTGTAAAGGATTGTATTAAGTATACTTGTAAAGGATTGCATTAATTATACTTGTAATGGATTGTATAAAGTATACTTGTAAAGGATTGTATTAAGTATACGTGTAAAGGATTGTATAAAGTATACTTGTAAAGGATTGTATTAAGTATACGTGTAAAGGATTGTATAAAGTATACGGATTGTATAAAGTATACTTGTAAAGGATTGTATTAAGTATACGTGTAAAGGATTGTATAAAGTATACGTGTAAGGGATTGTATTAAGTATACTTGTAAAGGATATAAAATATACTTGTAAAGGATTGTATTAAGTATACTTGTAAAGGATTGTATTAGGTATACTTGTAAAGGATTGTAATAAGTATACTTGTAAAGGATTGTGTCAAGTATACTTTTAAAGGATTGTATTAGGTAGACTAGTAAAGGATTGTGTTAAGTATACTTTTAAAGGATTGTATTAAGTATACAATTGTAAAGGATTGTATTAATTATGCTAGTAAAGGATTAAGTATATTTGTAACGGATTGTAATAAGTATACGTGTAAAGGATTGTATTAAGTATACTTGTAAAGGATTGTATTAAGTATACTTGTAAAGGATTGTAATAAGTATATGTGTAAAGGATTGTGTTAAGTATACTTGTAAAGGATTGTATTGAGTATACGTGTAAAGGATTGTCTAAAGTATACGTGTAAAGGGTTGTATTAAGTATACTTGTAAAGGATTGTATAAAGTATACTTGTAAAGGATTGTATTCAGATCAACAGGAAGAATATCTCCAGTAGTAACTGAGAGTAGAGGATGCTCAGGATTTCCAAGCTGTTCATCAAACCATCTAAACATATCACTATAATTAAAATGTATTTTGAAAATTTTTATGAAAAACAATCCCTGGATATAATCTTGACATCTGGATGAATAAGGATACCTTGATACAAATCCTGCTACCTGAATGAATAATTCGATACCTGGATGAATAATCCTGATACCTGGTTGAATAATCCTGATACCTGGTTGAATAACCCTGATACCTGTTTGAATAATCCTGATACCTGGTTGAATAATCCTGATACCCGGATGAATCCTGATACCTGGATAAATAATAATACCTGGATGAATCCTGATACCTGGATGAATAATTATAATACCTGGATGAATAATCTTGATACCTGGATAACTAATTATAATACCTGGATGAATAATTATAGTACCTTGACAAATAATTAATATAGCTGGATGAATAATTGTAATACCTAGATGACTAATTATTATACATGGATGAATAATTCTAATATCTAAATGAATAATAATAATACCTGGATGAATAATCCCATCCAGATTCTGCTCCAGATTTCATGTGTCCATACCAAACATTTCTCTGTCCATCAATATTAAAATCAGCATTTATTAAAAATTATTAATGACAGAAAAATTGGACCCAAGCTTTTGATTTTGATTAATTGATTATAATAATGCCTTGTTTTGAGGTAACTTTTGAGCAAGCTCATAATCCTCTGTTCTTGCATAAAGTATTCAAACCGTTCTTGGTAATATCTACGCATGGGTAGGGAAGATAAGCATAAAGTATTCAAACCGTTCTTGGTAATATCTACGCATAGGGAAGATAAGCATAAAGTATTCAAACTGTTCTTCGTAATTTCTACGCATGGGTAGGGTAGATAAGCATAAAGTATTCAAACCGTTCTTGGTAATATCTACGCATGGGTAGGGAAGATAAGCATAAAGTATTCAAACTGTTCTTGGTAATTTCTACGCATGGGTAGGGTAGATAAGCATAAAGTATTCAAACCGTTCTTGGTAATTTCTACGCATGGGTAGGGAAGATAAGCATAAAGTATTCAAACTGTTCTTCGTAATTTCTACGCATGGGTAGGGTAGATAAGCATAAATTTAAACATAAGTAGAAAATTCTTTTAAATTTTATGATTTAAAAAAATACATTAATTTAAATATGACATTGCAAGTTTGATGATTATTGATTAGGATAACCTTGGAGAAGGATACATTTTTAAAAATGAAACTGATAATGGAAGAAATTGGATATTGAACGATGAGATCATGATCAAGGAAATAAAATCAATCCTTAAAGATGGGCGATGAAATCTTTTTCAAGGGAGTGAATTCAATTTCTAGTGATGGAACATGAAATCATGATCAAGGAAGTAAAAAAAATTTCTAAAGATGAAACATGAAATCATTATCAAGGGAGTGAACTCAACTTCTAAAGATGAAACATGAAATCTTGATCAAGGAAGTAAAATCAACTTCTAAAGAAGGAACATGAAATCATGATTAAGGAAGTAAAATCAACTTCTAAAGGTGAGACATGAAATCATGATCAAGGGAGTGAACTCAACTTCTAAAGATGAAACATGAAATCATGATTAAGAAAGTAAAATCAACTTCTAAAGATGGAACATGAAATCATGATCAAGGAAGTAAAATCAACTTCTAAAGATGGAACATGAATTCATGATCAAGGAAGTAAAATCAATTTCTAAAGATGGAACATGAAATCATGATTAAGGAAGTAAAATCAATTTCTAAAGATGGAACATGAAATCATGATCAAGGAAGTAAAATCAACTTCTAAAGATGGAAAATTAAGTAAAGAGAATCGATGAAATTATGAAAACTGTGATCATTGTCATCATGAATGAGATAAAAATAGGATGAATAACAATAATTGTAAGAAGGAGTCGGGATTGGGACAAAAATGAAAGAAAATGAATCAAGCCAAGTCAGTTTGTGAATAGGGATAGGTACGTCAGGATGTACTTGAATGAATAAAATTACAGATATTTAAGGTGAGATAAAGTTTAGAATGCTGGCCTAAATATGACTCAGGTCTGGGTCCTCCAACCTCTACATTGTAGGATGCAAGCATGTAGTCCTTTCCATCAATCTAGATTAATACGCATTTTAGAACTTAATTTTCAAAGAGATTAATTTTAATACATACCGTTACATTTCTAAACCTTTTGATCCAGAACTTGAACTCAGTGTCCATACTCCATACATAGTTTGCATACGGTCTACTTAGGGACGGATCCAGGCTCAGTATCTCCTAAAGGAGACATGGATTGGTTAGAATATATCCGTCTGCTTAGGAACGGAAACAAATTTATTATCTCCTATAGGAGGAGATTTTGTAAACATTATTGTCTTCAAAAGTAATTACCACGCACCGTATGTCGTAGATTGTACGTATATTTATACCTGTACATACATATGAACCATCTGGCAATACAGAGGAGGCTGGGATCTTTTCTCATAATAAACTCTGCAAATGAATATTCATACATTTTTTCTCTCAAAAAGGGTTAAAAATTAGATTTTTTATTAAAAAGAAAGTAATCAAGTTTTAAGAGGGGGTGGGGTTTTTGGTTAAAAAAGATTTAACATTAATTTGTTTACCTGTTCCCATTCGGAATATGACCAAACCTCTCGATTAAAAGCTGAAATATATTAGAATATTATACTGAACAACTCTTAGTTACATCTTTGATTTTTCTTGGTTAGAAAGAATCAAAAACTCTAACACCTTCTCTAATCTTCAATAGGGATTAAAAATAAAATCAACCAAAAAATGACAAATTTGAATAATTTTGTTCTGATGATAATCATCTTCTTTTTTCTCTAAAGGTCTGTGCATTTTTTCTAATTTTTTGTTTTTCTCGACTGTAGTTGTAATTTAAATTAAACTTTTCATGTCAATTATAGATGCAAATAGTAGCTAGAGGTGTGTCAAATACGTTTTTTTTGTTGAATTGAAGGCTAAAATCTCCATTTCAACATTTTTAAAAGCAATAAATGCTTGATTTCACAATTTAAATATATTTCTCCTATTAATTTTTGAAGAAGAAAAAAAAGTAAGTGAGGGAAAAATCGACATTTTTTATTTGAAAAAATATTAAGTTTCTTTTGTCCTTTGAATGTATTTCTGTACAAAACTAGCAAAATAAGTACAAGTACAGTCTGGGAAAGTATACAATTAGTGGAACAAAATAACCACGTCCGGACCACCCTTTTTATGATTTAAATAAATGTGTGCACGAAATATCGTCTTCTTTCAACACAATCTCCAAATCAAAAGCAAACAATATTCAGACATATTAGTAAAATAAATATGTTCAAGGAAGTTCAAACTGATTTGCTCTGCGATGGTTACATTCTTCCAACGCAAAAAGTAAACGAACTTTTACCGCAAACTGTAGAACGCATTTTGTGTACACAATTTATCGAGAGTGGAGTTCCTCTTCTTTACCCTATCCCCGCTGGGGTACTTGAAAACCAGGATACGCTGGGGGGGGGGTCAATTTGACCCCCCCTCTAAATCCCATGTTTTATGTCCAAATATGACAAATGATACATCATTAGAAAGCTCTTGTGCTCTATTTTTAGAATCTGCAAAAAAATTTGCAAATTTGCGAAAATTGAATTTTCTATCGCAAAATCCAGTTTTATAGTAAAAATGTTTGCAAAAAAAAATTTGTCCAAAAAATGACAAATTATACATTTTTGAAAAGCCCTTGACCATGCCATTTTAAATATGCAAAAATTTTTGCAAAATTTTAAATAACCTGATTTTTAATCAAGAAAAACTAAAAATGTGCAAATTTCCTTTGACAGGTTGTTTGCAAAAAATTTGCAATTTTTTTTCGCAAAACTTGTGCAATCCGTTTCCTTATGTCATAGGCTTTCCAAAAAGCTAAATTTTATCAAAATCTGACAAGTGAAAGTTGGTCAAAACAAAGATTTAGTTTGCTACAGGCAAAAGCAGTCATTCAGGCAGTGTGCCTGAGGACTCAGGCAGTTAGTATTAAAGCCCAGTTTTAGGCCTAAAGGGAGGGCTTTGGGTATGTAAGAAAAGTCAGAAAATTTCAACAGCCTCAGACCAATACTTTTTGAGTTATGTAAAAAAAACTACAGGGGGGGTCAAATTGACCCCCCCCCCTGCGGGAATAGGGTTAATAAAATCTTTATATGCATGATGTCCTAAACCAACCTTAAAATTATCCAGCATACCCTCAACTGTTTCATACAACTCGGAAAGAAGAAGTCCTTTGATAGTCCAGTAGGAATCCCAATAGTAAATCTCACGAAATCTAAAGTATATAGAAATTTTGATTTCAAGAATTCGAGCATTAAAATTATTATCACGTGACAGGGTGGCCCAAAAAGCAAGAGATTGAATTCAATCTTACGCCTTGAATATATTTCAAAGGTTTACTAAATAATTTGGCAAGAAAGAAGCAATAGGTTTTACCTTCAGTGAACCGTACACAAGAAAAAGAACTAAATAAATTTCAACCAGTCGTCTCTGAAGTTTTATTTATGATTGGTTACTCTGATTTTTTATTTCAAGTATTTCAGTTTTTTTCCTGCAATACGGGAAAAAATAGCTAGAGATAATAAAGTTTTGCAAAATTTGTCTTAAAATGTTAATTATATGTAATTAAATAACTTATTGAATTTACTATTGGTAATCATAATAAAAGTTTATCCATGTAAGAAATAGTAAAATTTGCCAATCAATAATAAACAACTAGGGGATTTAAATGAAAAACTGAACATGATAAACGTTTTTTGAATAAATACAGTAAAGTGTGATACGGTTTTTATGCTTTTTTTAAATGTGAGATCAAGAGCAGATAAGATTTTGCTAAAACCAGATTTCCTATAGGCATAAATAAAATATATTTCTAAAATATTTCGAAGTATGAATGAACAAATATACGTTAAAAGTCAATCCCATAAATGTATTAATAACAATTTGCATAAGTATTTCTATTTGAAAATCAAATTATCTCTGTTTAACCCTCCTCTCCCCTCTTCCCTTACCACCCCCCCCCCTCTTGCGAGTTGATCCGCCCCCTTGAATTGACAAGAAACGAAAATTATCTAGATAAAAAAGTAACACAGATGTGAGACATATGATGTGCGTTGTCTAGCGCACAGTGGTAATTATTCAATATAGTACTTACACGAAAATTCATAAGTCTGTTTTTTGTTCATATATATTTTTTAAAGAAATAAAGATGGAAAAATATAATTTTACTAAGGCATATTTTTTACAACATGCAACGTGTTCTTAATAAAAAACAAAATCATATAAACATGTTCAATTCTTTGTTCTAATTATGATTTGATAAGCCCACTGTGCTCTGACAGTGATCAGATAAGCTACGAATAATCTTTAAAAATAAGATTAGAACTGACTGTTAACAGTTCAGCTTCACACTTAAGGTGGACTGCATTTAAAATATATATTTAAATACACTTTAATAATGCCTTATTCTATCTTCACAAATTTTTCACAATTTCTAGCTTTTCCACTTTCATCTTTATTGGCAACATAAACATGTGTGTTCATAATTACACAAAACTCAATTTTGTATACAATTGTCCTAACCTTCAACCTTTTCTAAACGAAGTTGACTGTCGAGAGATCAATTTTACATCTTCTCTTATTTAAACCATATTCGCCACTTTAAAGCTTAATTACTCGATATCATTCAAAACTTACGAGTACTTCTTATTCGACTCTAAATCTTTATTTAAAAAATGATATCTGAGATAACGTAATTATCAATGAAATCTAAAAATCTTTACAAACAAAGATTTTCTTCTTTTGGTATAGCAGAAACTTCGGATAGGATTTTCTGACAAGACCATGATTAAAGATACCTATGTACCCTGAATAAATGTTTGACTTGTAAAAATGAATCTATAACAGGATGAGGGTTGTAGTGTTACTCTTGTTCTCTATATCCTGTATACAAGGAAAATCTGTAGAATATGATTACGATGAATTTCAACCATATCAGAGGTGAGTTCTTTTAATTAAAGAAATATTTTGTTTTGGTCATTACACTTTTTAATCTAAACAGAATCACATAAAATATCCAGGACGGAACTGAAGAGAATACCATTGTACAAGACCACTTCACCTAGAAGACACCTTCAGAGTGTGGGAACCAGTTTAAATACAATCAGGAGAAGGTAATAAACAAGATAAAATCTGTTTAAATACAATCATGAGAAGGTAATAAACAAGATAGAACCAGTTGAAATACAATCAGGAGAAGGTAATAAATATGATAGAACCAGTTGAAATAAAATCAGGACAAGGTAATAAACAAGATAAAACCAGTTTAAATACAATCAGGAGAAGGTGATAAACAAGATAGAACAAGTTGAAATAAAATCAGGAGAAGGTTATCAACAAGATAGAACCCTTTTAAATACAATCAGAAGAAGGTAGTAAACAAGATAGAACCAGTTTAAATACAATCAGGAGAAGGTAATAAACAAGATAGAACCAGTTGAAATACAATCAGAAGAAGGTAATAAACAAGATAGAACCAGTTTAAATACAATCAGGACAAGGTAATAAACAAGATAAAACCAGTTTAAATACAATCAGGAGAAGGTAATAAATAAGATAGAATCAGTTTAAATACAATCAGGAGAAGGTAATAAACAAGATAGAACCAGTTTAAATACAATCAGGAAAAGGTAATAAACATGATAGAACCAGTTTAAATACAATCAGGAGAAGGTAATAAACAAGATAGAACCAGTTNCTATGTAGATTCAGTGCTATGTAGATTCAGCGCTATGTAGATTCAGTGCTATGTAGATTCAGTGCTATGTAGATTCAGCGCTATGTAGATTCAGAGCTATGTAGATTCAGCGCTATGTAGATTCAGCGCTATGTAGATTCGGTGCTATGTAGATTCAGCGCTATGTAGATTCATTAAAAAAAGTACAGAATAATCAAACAGCGTGTAGAAATCAGATTAGAGAAGAAACTGAAAAATTAATGTTAACAATTACATTTAGATATGGTGCAGTTGGAGCACAACCTGAACCCCTGTCCAACTATCTAGATGCTCAATATTACGGTCCTATCACCATTGGAACTCCACCACAGACTTTTAAGGTGACATTTATATTCAATTCTATCTGCACAAATATATATATTAACATCACTATTTATTTTTATTATTCTTGTGTTTATTTTCTTTTATTAATACTATCAAATACTACTAGAGTACGAATTACGATTCCTTTTAAAAAAGGGGAAATAGATTTAAAGGGTTCAGTAGTGAATCGTTAATTGCTTATTTAGATGAGGATTAATCGCAATCATGTTAACAGTCCCTTTGAGTGTCTAACCTAACGAGGTTATAGTGTATAGAGTGATGATGTACGCTAATACTTTACCAAGTTTATAGGCCATAAACTATACCGAGAGCGTACTGCATAGTTGTTTATTCTAAGTTGATTCTGGCCTGACCTATAGTATATCAATATTAGTAAACAGTTCTAAGTGTATAGTACAGCTAACTGAGCACACAGGTAGAGAACTACCATCCCCCCTGGTCTAACCCAAACAAATAATATTATTAATGGTCCAGGTTGTGTTTGACACTGGATCCAGTAATCTCTGGGTTCCCAGTAAGAAATGTCACATCACAAATATTGCCTGTCTGCTTCACAACAAGTATGATGGTAGAAGATCATCAACCTACAAGGAAAATGGAACATCCTTTGATATCAGATATGGCAGTGGAAGCCTTTCCGGGTTTCTTTCAACCGATACCGTCTCATTCGGAGGTAACAGAATAAAAATTATCCAGATAATGATAGTTTTCTAAGTCCCTTCAAACATTTTTTATTAATTTTTGCCATTGTATATATTTTTAAGTTTTTAAATTCAGTTGTGTTTATAATTTTTGTCTGATTTAGATAATTTTCTGCATTAGTATAGTGAATTAGTGATATGATTTTTTTTATATTACAGTTATCCAATTTTCGTTACACTCGCCTTTTTTGCACTTTATTTTTCTTAATTTTTCTTTAAATCAGTTTTTTTTCTTTTGTTTTTAGGAGAACAAATCGTCGATCAGACATTTGCCGAAGCTATGTCTGAGCCTGGAATAGCATTCGTCGCTGCTAAGTTTGATGGTATACTTGGGATGGGGTATTCAACTATTTCTGTAAACAAAGTTGTTCCTCCTTTCTACAATATGGTTAAACAAGGACTAGTCCAGGTTAGTGAACAAGTCAGGGGTTCAGGACTTATTCTGATCAAGGACCTCTTTAGAGTTATATTCTTTTAAATTTAACAAAAAAAAATGTTGCAAAAATTGTATAATGTAATGTTCAGGATCCAGTATTTAGTTTCTACTTGAGCCGCAACCCTGATGATTCTGTTGGCGGAGAAATTATCCTGGGAGGATCTGATCCTAACTATTATCAAGGAAACTTCACATATACCCCCGTAACTAGGTAGGAAGGGGGGATCAAATCTACTATTTTGCCGCTTTAATTATTTTGGGACATAAACGTGAATAAAATAATAAGACCTTTATAAATACTTAGGAAAGGATATTGGCAATTTAAGATGGACGGAGTTAAACTTGGAGATCAACAGTTCTGTGAAGGAGGATGCCAGGTAAATATTCAGAAATCTGTTTTGTGGTAATTCAAATAAAAATTTGTTTAAAATCTTTTTTAAGGCAATTGCTGACACCGGCACCTCTTTGATCGCTGGACCTTCGGACATCGTTACAGCGATTAATAAAGCTCTCGGAGGCACTCCTATTGTAGGAGGAGAATATATGATCGACTGCTCTACTCTACCTAAACTTCCAAACATTGGATTTATGATTGGAGGTGTTGAGTTCGACTTAACTCCAGATCAGTATGTTATGAAGGTAAATAATTCTAGCCTCCGTACTCGCTACATTTCCATTTTGATTGAAATTTTGAAAAAAATACCTGTGCTACATTTTGCAATAATTTAATGAATCAGCATCTAAAATTTGCTAATTTAGATTTAACAGTTTGGGACATTATACTAATTTAGATTAAACAGTTTGGGAAACTATCCTTTGATTCTACAGTTTAGGAAAACTATTCTAATTTAGATTAAACTAATTGGACAACTATTCCAAATTAGATTTAACAGTATGGGAAACTAAACTGATTCAGATTAAACAGTTTGGGAACCTAAACTAATTTAGATTTAACAGTTATGGAAACTATTATAATTTAGATTCAACAGTTTGGAAAACTATCCTCATTAAGAATCAACAGTTTGGGAAACTATCCTCATTAAGAATCAACAGTTTGGGAAACTATACTCATTAAGATTCAACAGTTTGGGAAACTATTCTCATTAAGATTCAACAGTTTGGGAAACTATGATCATTTAGATTCAACAGTTTGGGAAACTATCATCATTTAGATTCAAAAGTTTGAGAAACTATCCTAATTTAGATTCAACAGTTTGGGAAACTATTCTCATTAAGATTCAACAGTTTGGGAAACATGATCATTTAGATTCAACAGTTTGGGAAACTATCATCATTTAGATTCAGAAGTTTGAGAAACTATCCTAATTTAGATTCAACAGTTTGGGAAACTATCCTAATTTAGATTCAACAGTTTGGGAAACTATCCTAATTTAGATTCAACAGTTTGGAAAAACTATCTGTCTTTCTGGGTTCATGGGACTGGATGTACCTCCCCCAATGGGACCTATCTGGATTCTAGGAGATGTTTTCATTGGTAATATTAATTTAGTGTTTTTTTTCATTGGTACTGTTATTTAAGGGTTTCACTGGTAATATTCATTTATATTGCTTTCATTGGTTCTGTTATTCAAGGGTTTCATTGGTGCTTATATTCAAGGGTTTCATTGGTATTATTTATTATTATTTTTTATTGGTATTGTTATTCAAGGGTTTAATTGGTAATATTCCTTTGTATTTTTTCATTGGTACTGTTATTCAAAGGATTCATTGGTATTATTCATTTTTATTTTTTATTGGTACTGTTATTTAAGTGTATCGTTGGTAACATTCGTTATTGTTATATTATAAATGCATTGATCGAAAGAAAAGATAATAAATCTATAATAGTTTGTTTATTTCAGGACCATACTACACTGAGTTTGATATGGGAAATGATAGAGTTGGATTTGCTAAGACCACTGTTCACAATTAACAAAATAACAATGTCAATAATCAGTTTACGTGTATCTAATTAAAAACTATTGATTGAGATACAATCTCGAATTTGTTGCAGGTTATCAAAGTAGCTATTTTTGTCTGCTTCAATAAAAAAAACAGTATGGTCTGTTACAATTTGTTTGACAATTTATCAAAAAATTAAACAATACAAATCATCTCTTTCAGCCTTAAAACAAGAAAACCCACAAGGGTAAGAAGGTTCCGTGTTATTGTACCTGGCCCGGGAACTATGAGTATATTGTTATTGTACCTGGCCCGGGAACTATGAGTATATTTTTATTGCACCTGCCCTGGGAACTATGAGTATATTGTTATTGTACCTGACCCCGGTAACTATGAGTATATTGTTATTGTACCTGCCCCCGGGAACTACAAGTATAATGTTATTGTACCTGCCCCAGGGAACTACAAGTATATTGTTATTGTACCTGCTCCCGTGAACTACAAGTATATTGTTATTGTACCTGCCCCCGGGAACTATGAGTATATTTTTTTATTGTACCTGCCCCCGGGAACTACAATTATATTGTTATTGTACCTACCCCAAAAAACTACGAGTATATTGTTATTATACCTTCCCCCGGGAACTATGAGTTTATTGTTATTGTACCTGCCCCCGGGAACTATGAGTATATTATTATTGTACCTGCCCCCAGAAACTATGAGTATATTGTTATTGTACCTGCCTGGGAACTATGAATACATTTTTATTGTACCTGCCCCCAGGAACTAAAAGTATATTGTTATTGTACCTGACCCCGGGAACTACAAGTATAATGTTATTGAACCTGCCCCCGGGAACTATGAGTATATTGTTATTGTACCTGCCCCCGGGAACTATGAGTATATTGTTATTGTACCTGCCCCCGGGAACTACAAGTATATTATTATTTTACCTACCCCCGAAAAACTACAAGTATATTGTTATTGTACCTGCCCCCGGGAACTACAAGTAAATTGTTATTGTACCTACCCCCGGGAACTACAAGTATATTGTTATTATACCTGCCCCCGGGAACTATGAGTTTATTGTTATTGTACCTGCCCCCGAGAACTACAATTATATTGTTATTGTACCTGCCCCCGGGAACTATGAGTATATTATTATTGTACCTGCCCCCAGAAACTATGAGTATATTGTTATTGTACCTGCCCAGGGAACTATGAATACATTTTTATTGTACCTGCCCCCAGGAACTAAAAGTATATTGTTATTGTACCTGTCCCCAGGAACTATGAGTACATTGTTATTGTACCTGCCCCCGGGAACTACAAGTATATTGTTATTGTCCCTGCCCCCAGAAACTATGAGTATATTGATATTGTACCTGCCCCCAGGAACTATGAATATATTGTTATTGTACCTGCCCCCAGGAACTACAAGTATATTGTTATTGTACCTGCAACGGGAACTACAAGTATATTGTTATTGTACCTGCCCCCGGGAACTATGAATATATTGTTATTGTACCTGCCCCCAGGAACTAAGAGTATATTTTTTATTGTACCTGCCCCTGGGAACTACAATTATATTGTTATTGTACCTGCCCCCGGGAACTATGAGTATATTGTTATTGTACTATTGTATATGAATAAAAATCAATAAAGCAATGCACTGAGTTTCTCAAATATTCAACGAGTCGGTTTTTCTTACAATATATTTATATACAAAAGATACAAACTTTAAATCGAACGATACTAATACAAACGAGATATTATGAATCTAATCAGATCTATCAAACAGGAGACATTTTACATTTTCATTTTCATCGTCTCACTTATACAAACTAAATATTGTTAATCAAATCAGTTTCATCAAATAGGGGAATTCTTCAAGGGAACCTTAATTCAAGGGAGCTGAATCACAACTGCCTTTTTTCCCTCTATTTCGCTCCACCCTTAGTTCGCATTCTACCCCACGCCCTGTGAGCTGGCCGGCCAGCTCACCAGCTCCCGGGTTCGGGGATAACGGATTTCTCCGCGTGGCTTGGGTTAAATATAGAAACCAAACATAAACAAGAAAACCCGTTAAACATCAGTAAAAGGTGGGGGGGAGGCAAAATGGGGTTGAGTGCGAACGAAGGGTAAAAATAATGACAAACAAAATGCTATTTACAGTCGCAGGAAAGATCAAAACATCATTTTCCTGCTACAATACATTGATTATACTAAATCTTTTTTTAATGAAATCTGAAATAATTGCAGAGTTAAAGTAATTTTATTTACTTGTCATCCCGGTTTTTACTCTGAACTTAATCAAACTAAACTCAGCCAATATGTAATATTCTGCAATAAGCAAGAATTAGAAGTATCTAAATATCATTGATCAGATAGCAGGCCGTTTCACCTAATAGCATTAGATAATAGAATTAGTTGCGTGTCTGTTTGTACTTCGAATTGAACCTTTTTTCATAAAGGAATTGAAGTCTTTGTCACAACCTCTGATTTTCTAATCCCTATATCTTTGCAACCCAAAGTTGTAAACCTTAGATTTTTCAAACTATGAATTTTTTTAGACAAAACAATCTAAGTTAAAAATATCAAAGGTTTACATCATCAGGTTGCTAAGATATTGGCATTAAAAAATTTGAGTTTGTGGCAAAGACTCAATTCCTTCGGTTGCTTCTAAAATTTGGCCACTCTGTGATTGATCCCTTTAAGGCAGCTGTCAATTTAGCTGACTTCAGTCAAATAAGCTGAAATACAGGGTTACCCACAAATAATGAGACTTCAACCACGACTGTACGGAATTTATAGTGTTTCCTTATATTCACGATTCCTACGTAAACTTCTTTGTTACAAGATGTTAGACAAAAGACTTAATTTAACCTTGAAGGCTCTTCTTATGAAATGAGTTTCAGGTAATCTCACAGTCTCATGCTTTGTGGTTATCCGTGTAGCAAAAATAACTTTCAATGTTTGGAAAAAACTAAACTTTTATTTAATTAAAAATCCATCCAACTTTCAATATATTTTTAGATTTCTTTTAAAGTAACACATTATTGCTAGAAAGTTTGCAATGAATGGAATACTTAAACCTGATGATCATATTCTGAGTTATGTTCTCCATGAACATCAAAGTGATCAGGACTGATTTCCTCATGTGATACAAACTGCCCAGGAGTAGTTAACTGTTCTTCTTGAATTCTATATTCGTCCGCTAATTTCTCTTCATTCTTCAGTTCAATATTAACCATGGAATCTAAAAGCAGCAAAAACAATGCAATAATGCAAGATTACCTTCGTTAAAAAGAGATTTTTATCAAAATAATTTGCTTGTTTTGCAACTAAATTCAAAACTAATGTTTAAAAAGAAGAAGGGTTTTAAAATATTATTGTCTAATCGGTTTCTGAACTTTCTTTGATGACTATACTCAGAGTCTTATTTTTAATCCCTTCATCTTTGCAACCTGATGATGAGAATCTTTATGAGTATTTTATCTGGTAGAAATAATTCATTCAAATATTAAAGGTTTACGACAGGATTATAAAATATGGAAGGTCTACGACAGGATTAGAAACTATCGGAGGTCTACGACAGGATTAGAAACTATCGGAGGTCTACGACAGGATTAGAAACTATCGGAGGTCTACGACAGGATTAGTAACTATCGGAGGTCTACGACAGGATTACAAAATTAAAGCTTTGTCTTCATTGACAGCTTGAGATAGAAAATTATTCTTATAATACCTGGGTTGGAAAAGTTGATAGTTTTTTCTTCCTCTGTTTCAATAATCTCGAAAACATTCGTCTTGTCGAAATTCAGAGCTGTTTCTAGACCAGGAGAAGAGTCAAAGGTTTGAGAGGGACCTGGAGCTGAAAATTCAGAGGAGTCCTGGGACGGTGAAGACTCCAGTTCTAGGTCCAAGACCGGAGCTGTTTCCTCGTTCTCCTCCTCTCCCCAAAGCCACCAGCTCCTGCTACCTTGTATGATAACTAGGACTAGGAGAACGTTTAATTTCATCGTGAAACCCAAGGTTGAGGGTAACACCACTTTACTTGCCTGAAAAAAATTGTTATGTTAATTATAATAATTTATAATAATTTGTTTTCTTACCCAGAAGTAATACATGAATTTGTTTGACCCGCACTCTCCCTTAATTTTACACGTGAAAGGAATTGAGTCTTTGCCACAAACTATGATTTTCTAATTCCTATATCTTACGGTGTTAGGTAATTTCCCCAGCGCAACTTCCCAAGTCACAACTTTCCAAATACGACTTCCCCAACAGCCAATTTCCCCAACAACAATGTGCCCAATCACTTATTTCCCCAACAGCAACTTCCTCAACAACAAATTCCCCATGCAGTTAAAACAGCAATTTCCCCAATAACAATTTCCCCATGCAGTAAAATATAAAACTGTTTCGTTTTTAACATTATTCCAATGAACAAATGCACAATTTCAAGATTAAAAAGTCGCAACTTTTCAAATGTGAAAATGAGTATAACCTACAATCAATGCTAAGGGATAAAACTAAATCATCCTGGAACTGAAGGAGTCTGATCATCATATCACTTTCCAACAACCATAATAATAATATAAACCATGCAATTGCAAAGTGTAGAGCTTCCGCCATTGAAAAACAGCATTTTTGCAACCCTGATATTCTGGTAAACTTAAAGCCTCAGAAATGAACAGAAGTACTTCTCTGGTTAAGCTGCTGAGAGACCAAAAGTTCCTAAGTCAGCACAAGAATTTTTTAATCTGCCGGATAGGATTTTACTGCATGGGGAATTTGCTGTTGGGGAAGTTGCTGTAGGGGAAATTAGTGACTGGGGAATAAAGTGTCGGGGAAATTAGCGGTTGGGGAAATTGTTGTCGGGGAAGGTGTGACTAGGGAAATTGTGTTGGGAAAGTTGCGCTGGGGAAATGACCTATTTTCTCCAACCAATGTCGTAAACCTTAAATTTATGAATTGTGTTAAATCAAATAATCTTAGTTTGAAGGGAGTGTTCGCGAAAAATGAAAGGGGGTATAGGCTTAATGCGATAAAAGCGCTTTTGGTCGCTACTAATCTTACTTCTATCTGTTGCGTCTATAAGAAGAAAATTGTTAAAGACGTCTCATACCGAAGAACGTAGCGACCATACAAATTGAGAAAACTGCAACGTAAGACTTAGACCGTAAAAATATCAATTTAATTTCAAACAAATCATTCAGATATTACAACCTATAGTCATCGATTATCTTTCGCCACATTTATATATAGTTGATTTTTCATAATATGTTCTAATTGTTATGATCTGAGAGTTACTTATAAAAACATTTATTCCTGTTACGAGGATTTTTGGTAATGAAGACGACATTTTCATATTTTCCAGGAATGTTCGAAAACAAGTTGTAAGCTAAATATTATTTTGAAAAACAAAATCAAAACTAGTATGAAATATCAAATATATACAAATGTAGCGAAAGATAATCGATAACTATAGGAGCTTTTCTATGTTAATTTGTCTATGGTAAAAAATCGCATTTATTCCGACATATTTGTCAATTTTCTATGCTTTTACTATACTAGGACGGACCCCATACATTTATATTCCGAAACTCAGTTTTATAATATAATATGTGATATCAGTTTTATAATATAATATGTGATATCAGGTATACACTATGCTCAATAGCACAACTACTACTCTCTAGTAAAACGTAAACATTAAACACCGACTGTACAGTGTACACTGTAAAGCAGGGTTGATAATATATTTGAAAAGATCTTCCTTTAAACTTGAAATATAAATATTTATATTTTACTTTCCATATTACTAATAAATAAATAAATCTGTGAAGAATATTTACAGCTGTGTATGAATTTAACCCAAATCTGAGGGAATATTCTAGAGTAGGCAACATATACAACATATGCTTTGCACAAGGAACATATTTATCAGCTTAGCTAAACACCCCCCTCCCCTAATGTTTAAAAAGAAGAAGGGTTTTAAAATATTACAAAGATAAGTCAGTATTACCTACAAAAAAGAAAAGCCTTAAGAGACGACTCTACGGAATCTGTACTGTTTATTTGCCACATTTTATTTTTCATAAAAAAAAACATTTAAAAAGGCATTGACAGACTATTTTTAAGACAGAAGAATTAATTAAACTTGAAATCGTCATAATTTAAGAGTTTCAAGTCGTATTTACAGTCTCATCCTTTGTGGGTAACCTTGCCAGAAACTTGATATTTTACTCAGTAATATATATATATTATGTGAACTTGCGGAGTTAGATTAAGAAATTTTGTAAAGAATAAATGGTTTACTCCTGAAATCATACTAAATCTAAATATAAATTACGCTTGTTTGTCTGTTTTGTTTTTTTTGCAGTAAACGTCAAAACTGCTTAGCACAGATCGGACCTAAATTTTGTGGCAACACACATAGCCCATGAGAAAGTTTCTTGCTGGTGAAAATTGGAAAATTGTGCCTAGAAAATTTAACAGTTTTTTAGATATAGAAATCTATTAATGTTAACTAAAAAATCCGCAAAGTTTTTTGTTTACTATTAAGAAGAAAAATGGCCGCCTGAATAACAACAATAACGCTGAAGTTGTTAAAAAGGGGTGTGAGGTATCCTGACTCCTAGAAGCCTATATAGTAAATACAAATTAGAAAGCAAAAAAAGAAAACCTACCATTAACTCTCTGTTAAATGATAGTCTTCTGAACTATTAAAGAGTTATATGATATCTATTATTATTAATGATTCCATATCATATTTTCGTCATTGGCTATTAAAAATGTAAACTATAGATGTAACTTAAAGTAATTTTTCATTCTCAGAGTGCCATGTCCAATTAACAATGGTACCATTCAAATTTTATCTGAGTAGCAATGAGGACGATATGGTCGCTTATTATTATTATTATTATTTGTGGAGGCTGTAGACTGCGTAGACTCTGTTCTACCATGAGGAGGATGGAGGAGGGTGGAGGGAGGGAGGAGGAGTATAGAACCGCCTGTTGAGTCGAGGAACCCAGTCAAGAGTAGTCAATACAACCTTCACTACACCCTTATATATTTTTTAGTAATTAAACATGCATTTTTTGCCTGACATTTTTCAATTTTTTTTTTTAATTTATGCTTGTACAATGTATTTGAAGACAACCGGAGTTTAGAAAGATGCTCTACAGCTGAGATATGATCATTAAAGTCTTTTTAAAAAAGTCTTTTTAACGTCTTTTTAAAGTTATCGTTGATCGAATATTTTTTACTGGCTTCTTAGATGACTAGAAGGGAATTTGTTTTAAAATTAATTAAGAAAATTATTCTAAGTTCACATTTTTAAGAAAAAGAAATATAAGCTCTAATTGTCTTTAACCTCCGTAGTTTTATACTGAACAGTTCTCTGCTCTGCCATTTCCCGGTTGTCGCTCTTGCTCCTGCAACCTGTATCCTGTATCCTGTATCTTGTATCTTGTATCCTGAATCCTGTATCCTGTATCCTGTATCCTGAATCCTGTATCCTGTATCCTGTATCCTTTATCCTGTATCCTGTATTCTGTATCCTGTATCTTGTATCCTGTTTTCTGTATCCTGTATCCTGTATCCTGTATCCTGTATCCTGTATCCTGTATCCTGTATCCTGTATATTGTCTCCTGTATCCTGTATCCTTTATCCTGTATCCTGTTTCATGTATCCTGTATCCTGCATATTGTATCCTGTATCCTGTATCCTTATCCTGTATTCTGTAACTTGTATTCTGTATCTTGTATTCTGCATTTTGTATTCTGTATTCTGTATTCTGTATCCTATATCCTGTATTCTGTTTCCTGTATCCTGTATCTTGTATCTTGCATCTTGTATCCTGTATCCTGTATCCTGTATCCTGTTTCCTGTATCCTGTATCTTGTATCCTGTATCCTGTATCCTTTATCCTGTATCCTGTTTCATGTATCCTGTATCCTGTATCTTGTATCCTGAATCCTGTATTCTGTAACTTGTACTCTGTATCTTGTATTCTGTATCTTGTATTCTGTATCCTGTATCCTGTATCCTGTATCCTGTATCCTGTATCCTGTATTCTGTATCCTGTATCCTGTATCCTGTATTCTGTATCCTGTATCCTGTATTCTGTATCCTGTATCCTGTATCCTGTATTCTGTATTCTGTATCCTGTATCCTGTATCCTGTATCCTGTATCCTGTATTCTGTATCCTGTATCCTGTATCCTGTATTCTGTATCCTGTATCCTGTATCCTGTATCCTGTATTCTGTATTCTGAATCCTGTATTCTGTATCCTGAATCCTGTATCCTGTATCCTGTCTCCTGCATCCTATATTCTGTATTCTGTATCTCACACTATGTCTCCTTCATTATGCATCTTAAATCCTGTACTTGTATTCTATATCAAACAACCTGTATCCTCAATTAAACATATTGTTTTTATGTTTTATTTCGCACACAAACTGTCTTCTGAATCCTGTATCCTTTATCCTGTATCTTGTATTCTGTATCATACAGCCTGTATCCTCAATTACACATCTTGTATTTTCTATTTTGTGTCGCAGAATCTGTCTACTGCATCATGTATTTTTCTGTTCCTCACATTCTGTCTCCTGTCTCCTGGTTCATTCATCCTGTATGCATCATGTATCCTGTATCCTGTATATTGTATTCTGTATATCATAAACCATGTATCCTGAATTACACATCCTGTCTTCTGCATCCACATTCTTAATTCTGTATGATCTGTATCCTGTATCCTGTATTCTGTATATCAAAGATCCTGTATCCTTTTTCACACATTGCGTCTCCGCGTCCTATATTTTGCATTATATCTCACATTATTTCCCATGTATTTATACTGTATCCTACATATTTTATCATGTGTACTGTATCATGAGTACTGTATCATGAGAACTGTATCCTGTGTCCTTAAATCTTTTTATGCTGTATTATGTATCCTGTATCTTTCATCTTGTATCATTTGTCTTGTATCCTGTGTCTTTCATCTTGTATTATTTGTCTTGTATCCTGTATCTTTCATCTTGTATTTTGTATCCTGTATTTTGTATCCTGTATTTTGTATCCTGTGTCCCAGATTTTGCATTCTACGTCCTACTTCCTTTATCCTTTTCCATTTTCTTTTCCATTCCAAATCAAGTCTCTTTATCTTGTTTTCTTTCCTATTTCCTTTGTCCTGTATTCTCAAGTATTTCCCCCTTTTCTCTTCCTAGAGTCTACGCAGATATTTTTTCCCTAGAGTCTACGCAGATATGTTTTCTCTTCCTAGAGTCTACACAGATAGGTTTTCTCTTCCTAGAGTCTACGTGTGTAGCAAATACCTACTCCATAACAATTTACTTGAGACGTATCTATCCAGGACTAACCAGGACTAACTTCTCAGATTCTAAAGGCCACTCAGGCAATATCTTAACCAGGATTAACTCCCAGACTCTAAATGACTCACAGGTCAAATTCTCCCTGGTTCTAAAGAACACACAGTCCAATTAAGTCTCAACCAGCCTTAACTCCCCAGTTTTTAAGGGTACACAGTCCAAATCTCAACCAGGCTTAAGTCCCTGGTTCTAAAGGACATACAGTCCTATGAAGTTTCTACACAGGCAATTTCTCAACTCTTATAATTCAACCAGTACCAAATATTCTTTCAATGTAATCAAAAGAAGAGTCTCATTTAACTAACATTATTCAATAGCTTAGGTTACAAAGTTAACAGGAATTGACGTAATTCAATTCCTACAATGTTATTGATATCACATGATTAAGAACATCATATTACGTATTTATCGCACAGTTAAAGTTTAAGGCCAGTACGGGTTCTAAAGATATTCGGAGAAGGGAAGATTATTATAACTTCTGAACTGTCCCTCAAGAGTACCTATCCTCCGTCTAGTCCTTAGATATTTCCGATACACAATTTTCAAAGTTTCCCTTTTAGAACGACCGTCATCCAGCTGCGCCTGTCCAGGATCCATCTGAACAGCTTCCCTGACCTCATACATATCTCATTCAGCTGCTCTGGTTCAGGATCTCTGAACTTGGCTATCTCATTTAGATGCTCAAGGTCAGGATGTATCAGAGCAGTTTCCTCAACCTCATTCAGCTGCATTGGTTCAGGGTCTCTGAACTCGAATACTTCGTTCAGCAGTTCCAGAGAAGGATCTCTCTGAGCGTTGCCTCAAACTCCAATAGATCCTTATAGTTCTATATCTGGACTAGGAGTCCTGAGATTTGAAGATCCGGAAGAAGAGATATCATCCTTCAACAATAGCTTCCATATCTTCTGATGGTTCATCAACTGCTTCTGGATTTATCCTAGCTGCTCCTGGAGTTAAGGGACTCTCTGGGGTTGGAGAACAAACTGGAGGAGTACCTGGTTCTGGAGTATCTCTCAGGAGTTCTTCCAACTCTGAATCTGAGTCTGCTGCTTCTACAATTGGTTGATGAAGAGCTGCCTGTAAAGAGCAGCTTCTCCCGGGTCTAAAACTGGATCCTTTTGTCTGCAAACCTCCCTTGGTTTCTCAGTCATGTCTGGAGGAGGATATATCTTGTCCTCATAAATCCTTATGATCTTTTCTTCACCTGGAGTGATTGGTCTATACTGGTATTCTAGCTGCTCTGGGTCACAAACAAGATCATGCCCTTTTATAGAGTGAGTGGCATCTCCGTACTCAGGATCCTCTGGTTCTGCTGCTGATTCCAGAACAGATCTGTGACGAGCTACTCCAGTGGCATATGCATATTCAGGATCCTCTGGAGAGTATAAAGCAGTCTCTGATGTACTGGCTGTACGATCTAGTTCTCCTCTGTGCAAATACTCTAGCTGTTCTGTATCTCCAGTGCCTCTTTTCCTAGATCTAACTGGAGAGTATATCCCGGTCTGTGGTTAGACTATAGTCCATCCTAGCTGTCCTATATCTCCAGTGTCTCTTTCAACATAACTAGCTCGAGAATATAGACCTCATCTCCTGGTCCGTAGTTAGACTAGTCCGTCCTGGACTAGTCGGTGCGGTTACAATGGGGCATTACCAGAAACCAGTGGAGATAGATCCCTTGGTGATGCTGATGAGTCTGATGAGGCATCCTCAGGTATAGCGATAGGGAAGGGGGCTGGTATTCTCTTTAGTTCTCTGGTAGGCATGGTAAAGATATATCAGCCTGATATCAGTCCAATACAGGAGGTCCCCAAACGAAGGATTATCTCTACGTCTGTACTTGTCAAAGATCCTGGGTGCACTAATCTTGTTCTCCAGGTTCTCTACTCTGCTATGATTAAAAGAAAGGGACGCGGAGTTTTAGTATCAATAATCATACTCTAAATATTATATTATCCTTGTCCTGTCATTCTTATCCTTCTCATTCCATTCTTATCCTTGTTTTGGTATTCTTATCCTTCTCCTTTCATTCTTATCCTTCTACTGTTCGTCTTATCCAATCGTATCCTTCTTAATCGTGTCTTCTTCTTCCTTTCTTATGCTTCTCCTTTAATTCTTATTCAAATCCTTTCATTTTTATCTGTCTCCTTTTATTCGAATCCTTCTCCTCGCAATATTCTACCTCTCCTTTCTTTCTTATGCTTGTCCTTTCTTATGCTTGTCCTTTCTTATGCTTGTCCTTTCTATCGTATCCTTCTCTTTCCCGACTTCTTCTTCCTATATTTTATTTTTATCCTTGTTTTGATATCTAATCCTACTCCTTACATTCTCATTCTTGTTCTGTCATTCATGACCTTCTCATTTCTTTCGCTTCCTTCTTTTTCCTAAATTCTCAACCTTTTATAAATTCTCATCCTACTTCCATCATCTTCATTTATCATTTTTCATTCTTGTTGTTTTAATACTTAGCTTTCTAATTTAAATCATATTCTTCTCTCAGTTTTATCTTTTGCTTACAATATATCTTTACTTCTTCTTGTTTCCTTCTTTCTATCTTCTTCTTTTTCTACTTTTTATTTCTCTTCAATCTTAGTATTCGTCTTTACTTTCCGTACTTTCCGTACTTTCTCCTTTAAGCTACTTCTTTATCCTTGTTTTTTCTTTAATCTCCTTTAATCTCCTTTATTCTTCTAACTTTCTCCTTTAATCTCCTTCTTAATCCTCCTTTCTCCTTTAATCTCCGTCTCAATCCTCCTTTCTTCTTTAATCTCCTTCTTTATCCTCCTTTCTCCTTTAATCTCCTTCTTTATCCTCCTTTCTCCTTTAATCTCCTTCTTTATTCTCCTTTCTCCTTTAATCTCCTTCTTTATCCTCTTTTCTCCTTTAATCCCCCTCTTTATTCTCCTTTAATCTCCTTCTTTATCCTCCTTTCTCCTTTAATCTCCCTCTTTATTCTCCTGTAATCTCCTTCTTTATCCTCCTTTCTCCTTCTCTCTCTATCTCTCTCACTTGGATTACAATTGATTTTCTTCCTTGTAAGAAAAGATTCTAATTTCTTCCCTTGCTGTCCAAACCATAGTTCTTGTCAATATATTCATATCTGTCCCAATAAATGTGTAAAGTAACCAGGACAATATTGACAAAAGCTCGTTGGTTTTAATTTTATTTTTTTATCACAAAATATGAAACGATTACGAGAAATACTTTGGCACAGACTTTATTCTGGAATATGGGACTGAAGTCTATCTTTGGAAATGTTTAAAACTGTTGTTTTAACGAGTCCGTTGAAAAAAAAAATGATGAAGATGTCCTAGTTTTTCTATCAAAAATGATGAAGATGTCTTAGTTTTTCTATCAAAAATGATGAAGATGGCCTACTTTTCTATCAAAAATGATGAACATGTCCTAGTTTTTCTATCAAAAATGATGAAGATGTCCTAGTTTTTCTATCAAAAATGATGAAGATATCCTAGTTTTTCTATCAAAAATGATGAAGATATCCTAGTTTTTCTATCAAAAATTGCGGTGTCTCTTTCAAGTTAAGTGACTTACAGATTCATAAAGGAAGAGAGAAAGAATAAAATTTTTCTTGCCTGGAAAAGATTTAAAAGGGCAGAGTTATTTTTTTTTAAGTTTCAAACAACTTCCATTTCAGTATTTATTTTATTTGTCTCCAAACTCGTAAATTTTACGCAGAATGGTCGTCTAATTGTTTCTAGAGTTTTGTCATGATTAAAATTAACATTATAGCCTGGATTATTCTGTTTTCCTCGTTTTCTGAAAACAAAATACAAAGTTTTTCTGAAATGTTTCATGAACAAACATATTAGTAATTAAGATTCATTAAATACTATTAATTACAACTACAAGCATTTAATGTAATGAAAATTGTTGATAATCTATTGGACTGATTATTCTAATGCTAAGTGAAAAAGGACCATTTGCCCCGTTTTTTCATTCTGTAATCTATTTGATAAAAACCTGCTGTAATTCAATTCAATTTTGGTTTCCCTTTATAAACGACTTGCGGATGTTTACAATAAAGAGAGAGGAGAAAAAAATTTTAAGATTGTGAAGTAGGTATGCAACTATGTCATTAGCCGTCTTTTGAAATTAAGTTAACAGTCCCTTTAAGTTAAAAAATAAAGTTTTGATTGTATTTCATCAAAATTTTAATTAAAATAAGATTGAAACCAGGACCAACAAAGCTTTCAAAATCACTGTCACGTCTAATAAGAAAAAGATTCGACGGAGTTTGTCTTCAGATTAAAATGAAATGGATTATCTAACAGCAACACTGATCCAGTACTACCCGGAGAAGTATTCTGTCCCGAATCTGAACCAGTACTCGGAGAAGTATTCTATCCCGGACCTGAACCAGTACCCGGAGAATAAAAAAGAACTTGGGATACAGAACAGAAGTTGAAGAAGAGAGGGAAAAATCTAGAACCAGGTCAGAACCCTTTGATAAAATATAAAGTTTAAAGTTTCTTGAAAGACTTAAATTTTAAAGGTTTATCAAAGAAACATCCTGATAAATTATACAAGACAGAATAGAACAAATTTCAAATCGATTTTCTAAAAGAAAGAAAATATGAATATTAAATATGAAAGCATATGGAATAGTTTGTAGGGTTGTTCTTCTTTATTTATAATTTAATAGCATTCATCAACCGTTACTACACGCAACCAACTTCTCTTTAATTTACTTTCTCTTTCTTTTAGTTTAATTAGTTTAAATTATTGATATATATATATATATATATTAATATATATAGTCCACGACAATTTCTAGACACATTTTTTACAAACATTCTATCTAACTATTTTCTATCTGTTTATTCTAGTTATATCTGATATATTCTAGCTAAAAAAACTATCTATCTTTCTGCTTTATTCTAGTTATGTCTGTTTTTTTCTAATTATATCTGTTATATTCTAGCTAAAAAAACTATCTATCTTTCTGCTTTATTCTAGTTTATCTAACTATTTATCAATCTGTTTCAGTCTAGTTAAATAACTATTTATCTATCTTTTTTATTCTAGTTGATCTAACTATCTATCTATCTGATATTTTCTAATTTATCTAACTATCTATCTATCTGTAATATTCTAAATTATCTAACTATACCTATCTATCTGCGATATTATAATTTATCTAACTATCTATCTATCTGTTATATTCTAGTTAAGCTGACTATCTATCTATCTGTTATAATATACATATTTCCTTTTAACAAAGAAATCGAAAAAATTTCAATTAAGTTTAAAATTAATAAATGCCTGAGGTGTCTAATTAATGCTAAAGTTAATTACCACTTTTTAATAGTATATTCATCAAAGCAGAGTTAAAAGAAACGTTAACATCAAACCGCTTTAATTGATTCTTTATCACGATAAACTACGTTTGTTATAATTGCTTATAATCACGGTAAAGTACGTGAACCTGTACGTTATAATTGGTTCTTAATTATGGTAAACTACGCGATCCTGCACGTTATAATTGGTTCTTAATCACGGTAAAGTACGTGAACCTACACATTATAATAGCTTCTTAATCATGATAAACTATGCGATCATGCACGTTATAATTGCTTCTTAATCAAGGTAAACTATGCGATCCTGCACGTTATAATTGCTTCTTGATCACGGTAAAGTACGTGAACCTGCACATTAAAATTTCTTCTAAATCACGCTAAACTAAGCGAACCTGCACGTTATTGTTGCTTCTTACTAATGTAAAACTACATAAACCTGCACGTTATAATTGCTTTTTTATCAAGGTAAACTTTGCGAACCTGCACGTTATAATTGCTTCTTAATCACATTAAGCTACAAGAACCTGCACTTTATAATTGGTTCTTAATCATGTTGAACTTTGCGAACCTGCAGGTTATGATTGCTTCTTAATCACGTTGAACTATTCGAACCTGCACGTTATGATTGGTTCTTAGTCACGTTGAACTATGCGAACCTGCACATTATGATTGCTTTTTAATCACGTTATGATTGCTTCTTAATCACGTTGAACAATGCGAACCTGCACGTTATGATTGGTTCTTAATCACGTTGAACTAAGCGAACCTGCACATTATGATTGCTTCTTAATCACGTTATGATTGCTTCTTAATCACGTTGAACTATTCGAACCTGCACGTTATGATTGGTTCTTAATCACGTTGAACTATGCGAACCTGCACATTATGATTGCTTCTTAATCACGTTATGATTGCTTCTTAATCACGTTGAACTATTCGAACCTGCACGTTATGATTGGTTCTTAATCACGTTGAACTATGCGAACCTGCACGTTATGATCGCTTCTTAATCACGTTGAACAATGCGAACCTGCACATTATGATTGCTTCTTAATCACGTTATGATCGCTTCTTAATCACGTTGAACAATGCGAACCTGCACGTTATGATTGCTTCTTAATCACGTTAAACTATGCGAACCTGCACATTATAATTGCTACTTAATGCTGCAATATTTTCTCCCTGCTATAAATATATTCAAATTCAACATCCTCCCATGGGCATCAATACAATTGTAAACTTGATCTCCAAATATCTTTATTGATTTAGTTAAACAGTTAAACCTGATGGTTGGGTGGATTGTATTTATGCACTAAAACTAGAAATATATACTGGAAATCAAGGAATTACAATATAGTACACCAGGCTAACTTAGACTGCTCATGTGCTAGTAAAAGCGATATTTTCCACTCGTGTACAACTGGAGTACACGAGCAATTAACAGACGCTGTATATAGGATTCTTTGTATACGAAATACAAAATCTTTAAAAATAGACAAAATTCATAAACTTTATGTTTCATGTTAAAAATTGGATTATTTCTTTAAAAATTGTAAAACTTAACCCTTGAATGGATGTTAGATGGCAGTCAAAAAACCCTCGTGTAAAAGTAGCATGGCGTGTCGGGACCACAGTAGGCCTCCTAGGCTATACCGTGAGATCGTATGATTAGTCTGTGCATTACACCTTTTCTTCTTGCTTTTTATCTCTGAACCGCTGTTAACTAAGGTTCATTTCAAGTACCGGGCCGGGCAGATTTTCGATCAGCTACAGCAAGCCGTACAGTACACATACAGACAATATAAGGCAAAACGGGAAAGCACGCTAAATTAACCACCTGGCCCCTTCTAGGGATAGGAATTGAGTCTTTGTCACAACCTCAGATTTTCATATCCCTATATTATTGTAACCTGATGGTGTAAACAATTCAAATTTCAAACTTAGATTATTTTATATAACAGAATTTATAGTTTGAAAATTCTAAGATTTTCGACATTGCAGGTATGCAAATAAATAGTGGTTCGAAAATCAGAGTTTGTGACAGAGATTCAATTCCTTCTTGTGTAACATTTCACAAGATGTACATTATATAACAGTAACAAACTCAACCATTTTCTTTAGAGAAACAACCCTGGGCTATGCACATAGAACTGACGTATAACATTTCAAATGTAATTCTTCTTTTAATTTTAAATGTCTTAACACAAGTTGAAAAAAAACTCCAACCGATCTTTTAAAAAATCTGGAAAAAGTAGAAATAAATAAAAGTGATAAACTACACAGAGTTTTCTTTTTTTGTATAATGTACTTGGCAGGATGGTGTCTATCGCTCTATGAATATAACAGATTTCTCAGCGAGAGACACCCAGCGGCTAAATAACCATCCTTCAAAGAACATCATATATATATATATATATATATATATAAATTTGCATGGATTCTTCGACCTTCTTGGGTGTAATCCTTTTCAACCAGTTTCTCCTTTTAGACGCAACCGATAAAAGTAAAATTACCAATCCGAATTTGATTATGATTCCGCCTAACCCCCCTTTAGTTGTTCTTAAACTCTCCCTTTAACAGTTTATTTCGTTCCAAAAGAACAACAAGCTGCTTTGGTTTAATTTTTATAAACCCCAACTTTAGATTTTTGTTTTAGTGTTGAAGGACGAATTGGACAAGTTGGTTTTAATAATATAGATTAAGTACTTTCAATAATTATACAATCAACATAATTTAATTAACACAGTTTTCATTAGAATTTATATAAACGTTGCATATAAATCGATATTTACATCATGAAACTTTATTACGTTTCTTGTATTATTTTACGTAAAATTTTCATAACTTTTTAATGCTTAGACTGGTTTGAGACAGCAAGACTTAAAGAGATATTTTAAAAATTAAATATACATTTATAAGGTTTTTTTAATTTTTCAGTTTGCTCGAACTTCTCCCTAAATACTAAACATTTTTAAAGAGCCCCCCCCCCCCTCTCCCGTCCTCTCGTCCCAATGAATTTTCTCAAACTCAAAACTCTTATATATTAGCAACCTGACGGTGTAAAACCTTAAAACCTCCAACTTTAACTATTTTATCTAGCAGATCTCAGAATTTTAAAAAAAATCAAGGCTATCAGATTGCAAAGCATTAGAAAATTAGACTTTTAAGATTCTTTGTTTAGTTTCTCAGGGTTCCAGAAATATTTTACAATTTCTTCAATAGCAGGGTTTCCACTAATTATTAAATTTTCTTTATTAGTAGGGTTTCCTTAATTATTACTATTTCTTTAACAGTTCGGATCAATTGAAAATTACAATTTCACAATTAGCAAGGTTTTCTATTAAATTTTACAATTTCTTTAATAGCAGGGGTTCCTTTAAATATTAAAATTTCTCTTATAGCAAGGATTTCATTAGCTAGATACTACAATTTCTCTATTATGTAATATCAGGGTTTCCATTGAATATTACAATTTCTCCGATAGCAGAGGTTGCATTATCACAATTTTTACAATGGCAGGGTTTCCATTAAATATTACAATCTCTCCAATAGAAGGGTTTCCATTAAATATTAAAATTTTTTCAATAGCAGGGTTTCCATTAAATATTACAATCTCTCCAATAGAAGGGTTTCCATTAAATATTAAAATTTGTTCAATAGCAGGGTTTCCATTAAATATTACAATCTCTCCAATAGAAGGGTTTCCATTAAATATTAAAATTTCTTCAATAGCAGGGTTTCCATTAAATATTACAATTTCTCCAATATCAGGGTTTCCTTTAAAAATTACAATTGCTCCAATAGCAGGGTTTCCATTAAATATTACAATTCCTCTATTAGCAGGGTTTCCATTAAATATTACAATTTCTCTAATAGCAGGGTTTCCATTAAAAATTACAATTTCTCTAGTAGCAGGGTTTCCTTTAAATATTACAATTTTTTCAATAGCAGGGGTTCCATTAAATATTACAATTTTTCATGAACATCTTAAAGGTGTTATAAGTTGTGTTTCTAATTTCAAAAATTGTGTTATCATGTTCAGTCAAGTTAATCGTTTGAAATAATAAAGTTAATTTACCTAGATTCTTAATTTTAATATTAACTGGCACAAGCAAATATATATAAAAACTGCGAAAAGTTTTCCCGAATATTATCCTAAACACTTTATTTATAATATTTATATTAGTATTAGTGTATTAACTATAAATTATCGATAATATCGGAGTTGTCGACAAATTTTCTTTAATAAAATTGTAAATAGAAATTAGTGGATTTACAAAAGTTTATGTTGCGCCTTTCATAGAAATCATGACTAGGAATATTTTTTGTTCAAATATAAATATAGTTCATTTCTATGGAGCTTTTTTAAAGCATTATTGAAATTTCTACGTTGAAAATATCAAAATAAAGGTACTAAATTTTATATAGTCATCAGATCTTTTAATATTTGTAGAAATGTTATCATAGAATTGGTGTCTTTTACGTTATTCTTTTTCTTTTCTCAAAATCTTAAAATAATTTATCGGGTTTTCGATGTCGCAATTTCTGACGTCAAAAAAGTTGTATAAGTTATATTTTCAACGGATAGTTATTTATTAAAGTTTTTTATATAAAATTACAGAACTCTGTAAAAGTGTCGTGACTGAAAGTCTCCAGTAATGTTTGTTTAATTTCAGAAAAGATTAGTTTTCGATTTTCAAAAAATTCCCTAAAAATCAAAATAAAAAATTAGTCTGAATTAAAAAAAATCTGTTACTTTCAGGAAAGTAAAAAAGAAATTCTATAGATATATCATCGTTTTGGAAAATGTCTTAAAATTAGGAAAATAATAAACGTTTTTGCCAAAATTACCTCCCCCCCCCACTCCACTCCACTCGTAGATATACATAAGCTCAATTACATAAAAGTTTTAGTATTAATTACAATAGTAAGAGCATAGCAATGTAATTAAAAATAACTTAGCGTGTGGTTTGGTGAATCATTTAATATACATTTACAACTTACATACTTTTATGAATTATTGTCGACAGTTATCATATAAAATCCATTAAATAAATGATAAATAAGAAATATATATATAAACTAACGATTAATAATATTTCACACCTCTAATCAATCATATTTCGAAATGTTTCAAGAACTATTATTCTTTTTTTTTGACTCGTCAATATTTAATATCAGTGATGTTTCATGTTCAAATAATTTTGAAAAATAATGTTTTCAAAAAATAAAAATATAATTTCTAATTTTAATTCAGTTTTTAATAAAATTCCTTAAATGTGAAAATGCGATTGAAGAAAGAAATATCTTTTCTTTGGAACATTATTTATAGATTTTAAAAATTTGAAAAAATCAACTGTCTTTTATTTTTATTACTTATCCTTCGTTTGATGTTAAGAAAAGCCCACATTAAAACTTCAACAGTTCAACAATAAGAATTTTATTTTTTATTTTTAACATAAAATCAAATTATTTCCGTAAAACCTCCGATTGTAAAAAGTATGAATTATTTATTATTTTAAATTGTATTTCATGTATGCATGGTTCTTAGAAATATTTTATTGATTTCAGTCGGCACAGTAACTTACTTCACTAGGCTATACAATGTTAAATTTAGCTGAAATATAAACATGCAATACTTATTTATATCATAACAATACTGAACTCATTTAATAGTTTAAAGCTTGACTCTTTTCATCACCAGATTATCGAATAAATGTCGCGAATAAATAGGACGATTTTATTTAATAGTTCAAAGCTTGACTCTTTTCATCATCAGATTATCGAATAAATGTCGCGAATAAATAGGACGATTTTATTTAATAAACATGTTCAATCATAAGTTTTACTTAATTTCCTTTTCACTAAAAAATTTTATCTAAATATATTGTGGGAACTCTCTGACCCCGGGAAAGGTTTATGCCAAGAAAAATGTCGATTTTTTTAATTATTGGAAATTCTTCGATGGAAACAGAAAAATCTGCGAAATATGTATTTTATTTAATGTTAAATTTCTAGAAAAATTATAGAAATTAGAAACATAAATGTAAATTTCTTATAGTTACATCAAATTGTATGTAGTAAGTGTCCTATTCCATAAAAGGTTCTTGAACACGTATCTATCCAGGTACCATAAAGTTTCACTTAGCTATCAAACCCAAATCCCCAAACCAATGGACGCGATCTCGTCAGCTATCGATGTCAAAAAGGACACTAGCTATTAATCGATCAATGCCAAACGAATGGGCACGATCTCATGAGCTATCAATGTCAACCAGACACTAGCTCATATTCTATCAACGCCAAACCAATTGGCGCGATCTCGTCAGCTATTGATGTCAACACTGACACTAGCTATTAATCAATCAATGCCAAACCAATGGGCACGATTTTAGCTTGTATGTTTCAACAAGAACCGATTATTCTCTTGCTGCAATCAAATCGGAGTTTCTATATCAACTGAGTATATTTCTGCATGTTAGATTAGAGTTAGGAATTAACAGAGTAATTACAAATTATGCGCTGTTATATATAACGTAGTTAAGCAATCACAATATGTGTATGCTGGAAATATATATCTACGCATCTAGCTTGGGTTAATCGCAATACATGATTTACATATTTACTAATAAGCACATTTATCTAGATTTACTATGGGGCCTCTATATTTATTACATGCAGTAATGTTTTCATGTAGAAATCCAATAAAAATATGAATGTTTAAGGTTCCAAGAAAAATCTAGAATGAAGCCAGGTCGTGGTTCAAAACTATGGTTTCTTCTTCTAATTATCCGACAAATAATTCCAGCCCTTGGGCTTACTCTTCAATCCCCTCTCCGGTCCAGTCGACCCAGTAGATATGACGACGGGAGTAGATCCTCCCAACCCTCCACCCACCTGCCCCCTGTACTCTTCCCATCAGATGAAGAGCTTGCAGTACATCTACCAGACTGGAAGGAAAGAGGAACTAGACAAGCTGAATATAGAACTAAACCAGGGATCACATTAAAAGGTAAAAAATAAGTAAAATACTAAAGGGACAGTACCCTTGATTCAGAGTGCAATCAACAATACTCTTCAACGTTTTATTTTCTCTTATCTGTATTTTTTAGCCAACACTATTTTTGATCAAAGTCACAGAAAAATACATCAAATACAATTCCTTAGTATTGAAATGAATTGAGTCTTTGTCACAAATTCAAATTTGTTAATCCCTATATCTTTGCAACCTGATGGTGTAAACCTTTGATATTTCAAACTTCGATTATTTGATGTAACAGAATTCATAATTTGAAATATTTAAGGTTTACACATTGGTTTGCAAAGATTAAAAATTTGAGCTGGTGGCAAAGACTCAATTTCTTTGAAATCTTAAAATTTTGTTGAAATTTCCAATCACTACAAACTTTAGGCGAATTGAAGTCCCACGGAGAACCAAAGCAAAAATGTCCTGAGAGTTCAAGTATTAAACCCTGTTCATGCAAGGAGAGAACATCAGGCCTTGATATCACTTGTGAAGGAATCGGTTTGGTGGATCTCCAGGTAATACAATTAGAGATGGGCATCATTTTGGGATCTGTTTATTAACATACAAGAGATGGAATTTAAAGAATTTGAGCCGCGGTTTAAATCCGCCAAAACCCGGTTTAAATTCAGCGCCGGCTTAGATCTTGAAACATTTGATACATTTTTAAGTGGAACCAACCATATTTAAACCGCGGCTTAAATTTAAACCGCCGCTCAAATTCTTTAAATTCGGCCAAAGGTTTTTTTACTTTTAAGATGATCGTTCTTGAACACTGGAACACGATATTCAATATGGTCACCTAAACATTTGATGATAAATGTGAGATTAGGGTCTTTCCCAATGTTTAAAGCACAAAAAGCCCACATTTTGAAAATATTTGGACTAAGGGTTCGCATATCTATGGGGTAAGGCTTTTCTATTTTAAACGTGTTTGTCGGCATCTCTGCATATTAAAAGAAAAAGTATTGCAAGACATTTGTGTAAATTGTTGAATTATTGACCAAAACGCGCTTGAATTCAAATTCATGGAAAACTGTTCAGAGCTGGGAACTTTAGAATCGTAGATGTCAGGATTAATGCTTAATCCTCTCTTTTTGCTAATCTCGAGACTAATATAATCTCGAGATTATGTTAGTCTCGAGATTAAACATTTAGATCAACAAATTTGATTCTAGGAACTCCAGATTTCACTTAATTTCTCACACATTTATTTAATTATACATTAGTTAAAATTGGTTAAAAAAGAATCTCAAACCTATTATTGAATATTTTTTCTTCAGCGATTAATTTACAAAATAGCCGACGACAAATGCTGTATTTGATAAAATTGCGGATTACTCTCATGGGATAGAATTTATTTTCAAGACTGTCATTGGTCAATAAAATTTACGAACTATATTTCTACACTCTCATTGGAGTAAACAATGTACAGATATCCAAAAAAGAGAAAAAGAGTGGATTAAGGGCTAAAATTAAAAGTTTCTTATACAGTGGATATTCGGATTAAGTAGTTGGGATTAAAGGTTATCCATTCTAAAGTTCCCAGCTCTGATCTACAAATTATTTATTAAATGAATATTAGGTACTAAAATTCAAACGTCGGTCCTTCTCCAAAGTTTTACACTCACCACTGACTTTATTAACGCCCAAATTTGGAAAAATCCGCAATTTTCTCTTCCTAAATCCGCAATTTCACAAATTTTACAGATATTCTATAGATATATGGATAATACGTTAAGATACAATATGTATTCATATATATTAGATACAATTGGTTGAAATGTCGTCTATCTGAAAATCTGTATTTTATTGTTAAGGCGGTAACAGACCAGCTAAAGAGTCACAATCAAGTTAGCGTTCAGGAATACAATGTAACTATTTTTTTTATTTTGTTATTTCAAATTCTTTATATTCATCTTTTTATTTATCTTTATATTCATCTTTATATTAATCTTTATATTCATCTTTATATTCATCTTTATATTCATCTTTATATTCATCTTTATTTTCATCTTTACATTCATCTTTATATTAACTTTATATTCATCTTTATACTCATCTTTATATTCATCTTTTTATATTCATCTTTATATTCATCTTTATATTCACTTTATATGCATCTTTATATTCATCTTTACATTAATCTTTATATTCATCTTTATATTCACTTTATATTTATCCTTATATTCGTCTTTATATTAATCTTTTTATTCATCTTTATATTCATCTTTATATTCATCTTTATATTCATCTTTATATTCGACTTTATATTCATCTTTATATTATCTTTATATTCATATTTACATGCTACTTTATATTAATCTTTTTATTCATCTTTATATTCATCTTGATATTCGCTTTATATTAATCTTTATATTCATTTTAATATTCATCTTTATATTCATATTTTTATTCATTTTTATATTCATCTTTTTATTCATCTTTATATTCATCTTTATATTCATCATTATATTCGTCTTTATATTCATCTTTATATTCATGTTTATTTTTATTTTTATATTCATCTTAATATTCACTTTATATTAATTTTTATATTCATCTTTATATTCATCTTTATATTCATCTTTATATTCATCTTTATATTCGTCTTAATATTCATCTTTTTATTCATTTTATATCCATCTTTATATTCGCTTTATATTCATCTTTATATTCATCTTTATATTCATCTTTAAATTCAAATTTTTATTCATCTTTATATTCATCTTTATATTAATCTTTATATTCATCTTTATATTAATCTTTTTATTCATCTTTATATTCATCTTTATATTCATCATTATATTCATCTTTATATTCATCTTTATATTCATCTTTATATTCATCTTTATATTCATCTACCTGTCTACCTGTCTACCTGTTTACCTGTCTACCTGTCTACCTGTCTACCTGTCTACCTGTCTACTTATCTACCAATATACCTGTCTACCTGTCTACCTGTATACCTGACTACCTGTCTACCTGTCTACCTGTCTGCCTATCTACCTGTATACCTGTCTACCTGTCTACCTTTCTACTTGTCTACCTGTCTACCTTTATACCTGTATACCTGTCTACCTGTCTACATATCTACCTGTCTAACTGTTTACCTACATACCTGTCTACTTTATACCTGTATACATGTCTATCTGTCTACCTGTCTGCCTGTCTACCTGTCTACCTGTCTACCTGTCTACCTGTCTACCTGTCTACCTATATACCTGTATAGGATAATTACTCNCCCATCCCTTGTCCATAGATTCAGCTTCAAATCCAGGCCAGCGTCTACACCAACATTGTATAACTCTAGGAGCTGGTAAGTGATCTTCATTGTGTTGGAAGTAAATCTCCCGCCATACCTCAGCTGGTCAGCTGAATTTCTACTGTTGGAGACAGGGAACGAGAGGTGTTGTCGGCAGCAGGTTAGGGTATACACTGGGATCAGGTTAGGGTATACACTGGGGGTTAGGGTATACACTGTCTACTTATCTACCTGTTTATTTGTGTACCTATATATCTGTGTAATAACTGCTGACCTGTCTACTTGCTTAAGTGTCTACCTGTCTGCTTGTCTACCTGTCTACCTGTCCTGTATTCTATGCCCCCTATTATTGATTAGGGTTTTGCTCAGATTGGTTACTTCAAGATACGGGATTGCAGAATACCCAAGTTCCCTGATTACATATTCATGGGTTTAAAGATTGTTCATCTACTTGTCTACAACTGTGGTAAGTCAATAATTTTGTTAATTAATAATCTAAATTTTGTTGAATAGAAAGATAAATAATTGTAAAATCTAAATTTTGTTGAATAGGAAGATAAATATTTTAAAATCAAATGATTGATTAAATATATACATTTTACCCTAGAGATTTTGAGGTATTAATAGATTTTCTGAAATGTTTTCTTGACAGTTGTTCAATGGGTTGTATACTATTATATGTACGTAAATCTCAGTAATGGCGAAAATAAATAATTAGCCATGAATATGTGGGAACAGTTTTAAAGAGCTCCAAATAGTCATTTATTTAAAACCCTATCAGAAAGTTAAGAATGCGACATTTTATAAATTCTTCCAATGTCTCTTTATATTTGAACTTAACTTTAGCTAAATTTAAAATATCATAAGGTTTAATTTTTAAAAGGTTGCAAATATTTAGGGATTATAAAATTCAAACTTATCAATTCCTATCTGACTCTGTCTTAGACCTTTCAGTCAGCAACGTAGTTGTGGTATCAATATTTTAAATGTTCATAAACCATGTTTATTGGACAAGGGAGACAGTAAACTAAAATTTATTAGGTTGACAGTATTCCATTAAATTTACTTACAAATAAAGTTATTGTACAGACATTGTTTGTAAATGCATAACTTTTTAGTACATTTTTATAGTTCTTAATTCATGAAAAGACTCATTAGTAAATATAGTATTAACTGTCCAAATGCATACCTAGAGGGCCCTTAGCCGAAAAATATTAAATGAACGCTAGGATTAAACTTTTAAACTTTTGCCAAAGGTTCAGATTAAACCTTGTATTATTAAGAGGTTCAGATTAAACCTTGTATTATTTAGAGGTTTAGATTAAACCTTGTATTGTCTAGAGGTTCAGATTAAGCCTTGTAATATATAGAGGTTCAGATTAAACCTTGTATTATTTAGAGGTTCAGATTAAACCTTGTATTATTTAGAGGTTCAGATTAAACCTTGTATTATTTAGAGGTTCAGATTAAACCTTGTATTATTTAGACGTTTAGATTAAACCTTGTATTGTCTAGAGGTTCAGATTAAACCTTGTATTGTATAGAGGTTCAGATTAAACCTTGTATTGTATAGAGGTTCAGATTAAACCTTGTATTGTATAGAGGTTCAGATTAAACCTTGTATTAAATAGAGGTTCAGATTAAACCTTGTATTAAATAGAGGTTCAGAGCCTGATGCCAAATAGCTTGAGCTCTCTGGCTGGAAGCTTGAAGCACCTAGTTCTATCCAACAACAAGCTTCATGAGGTTCCTAAGATGGCACTTCGTCAGCTCCGTGAACTAGATCATCTTAATCTCAACCAAAACAACATTACCATCATTAAGTAAGATTTAATTTAAAAAATTCATTTGTTAGTCGTTAATTACAAATTCATTTTTTATGAGAAAATTAGAAAACGTTAAAACAGTTTCATTCAAAATAATTATTTTTTATAATCTACAGCTAATGTAATGTTTTATAGTTTTTAATCTTGAGATTGACATTTTTTTTATAAACATTTGATTACATTTAACTTTTCAAAAAAGTAAACTTAAATAATCAGGGGAAATTTATGTATTATTTTGTTATTTTAATTAAACCTAAGTTATTTATTACTGTACTTTCTACGACTCTAATTGAATGATTACAGAAAGTTTGAGTCCCCCTTAAACTATAATTAAGAAATAATTTCATTAAATCTTATATGCTTTGCTTTGTGGGTTTAATCCTTAAAAACTTTTCTTGCTGTATGTATGTTAAATGTAAAAACTAAAAATACTTCAAACAAAAGAATTTTAAAAGATTCCAAATGAAAATGAGTTTCCCAAATTCAACCCAGAATATTTGGAATTATGCTTGAAAAGAAAATGTTAAAATGATAAAAATAGAAAAAATTTTATAGATATATTATCCTAGCGGGGCTGAAATCATATATATGTTAAATCCAATGATTTATCTTTTTGTAAGAAATAAAAGAAAAAGACAATGCGTTTGCATGGACACTCAACGGTGATCCAGATGTCCTGGCTTAATCGTCAGTGAGGCTTATCTTACAAACCTATTTTCATCCAATATTACCATAGGTTACATGCCCAACAGACAAAGGTACTCTGTAAACTTTTTTCCAAACTAAATTTATGCGATGGCTTTTGATGTTAAGATTTTTTTTCTGAAATAGACTGGACATAATCAGATTTAGTTTAGAAATAGACTGGACATAATCAGATTCAGTTTAGAAATAGACTGGACATAATCAGATTCAGTTTAGAAATAGACTGGACATAATCAGATTCAGTTTAGAAATAGACTGGACATAATCAGATTCAGTTTAGAAATAGACTGGACATAATCAGATTCAGTTTAGAAATTAGGCAAACTTCTAATTCTAGTATGAAACTTACTCTTGTTTAGGCAAAGTTTCTTAAACCCCCCTAGATGTTATAATCCTGGTCTAATGCTGTGTTGTTAAGGGAAGGAGCATTCTGGGGTTTAAGCAAAGTGACCAGGCTCTCACTTTATGATAACAAGCTTAAAGAGATAGAAAATGGCGCCTTTGATGGACTCACTAAGTAAGTAAAATTAAAAATTGTATTTTCTATTGTATCTCTTGGTGTACATTTCTGCTCTTCCACCTCTTATCTCAGTGTGCTTTTACAGACTTAGTTGTTTCTTTTCTTGGCTCATAATCCCCAACAGACATTAAATATTTGAGAACGTTCTTACTAGAATCAGCTGATCTATAACCAACTGCTGACCTTGGCCAACTGCTAATCTATAGCCAACTACTGACCTTGGCCAACTAATGACCTTGGCCAATTTCTGACCTTGGCCAACTCCTGACCTTGGCCAACTACTGGCCTTGACCAACTGCTGACCTTGGCCAACTGTTGACCTTTGAAAATAATTAACATGGGCCAGCAGTTGACCTTTGGCTAGGCGCTGTCCATGATCAGAAGTTCGCCTGGGCCAGCTGCTGACTTTAACCAGCAGGTTACTGTCATTGACCAGCAGGTGACCTTAACCAGCAGGTTACTGTCATTGACCACCAGGTGACCTTGGTCAGCTTCTGACCTGGGAAGCAGTTGTCTTTGGCCCGTAGATGACTAGGGCAAGCAGTTGTCTTTGACCTGTGATGACCTTGACCAGCTGCTGCTCTTAGCCAGCAGTTGACCTTGGTCTACAGCTGACATTGGCCAGCTGCTTACCTTCAGCCTAAAAACATCAGCTAATTTACACTAGCTTATTTTTTGGCTGATCTTGTGCTTTAGGTGATAATCTTTAGCTTACACTTCAGCTGACAATATTATTTGATACTTCAGTGCTGATCTTGTATTTAAGCTAAACACATCAACAAACTATCGTTAACCTACATTTTGGCTGATGACATCAGCTGACTTATATTAGCTTAAACTTCAGCTGACAGCATCAGCTAATTATCCTTAACAGCAAGCTCCAGCTAACTTTTTAATTGTATATATTTTAGCTAATTTTCAGCAATTTTTAAACTTACCATTTTTGCATATCTTTTATTAGCTAATTTTTATGTTTTAAATATCAAGAAGGCATTTAATCAACTCTAAACTACAGATTATTTGAATTTGGGAGAGATTAAATTAGACATCCCAGCCATAAACTATATAAGTTGTTAGGAAACATTTGAGTCACATAGTAGTTTTAGCTGCTAAGGATTTGATTCTCAAAACTAATTTCTGCCTAAAAGATGAGGTTTATGTTACAGTTAACATTGTACACTGTTCTACATGTTGTACAGTGTACATGTGTAGTTTAGTCTACACTGTATGTTGTATGTCAACTTTACTCAAAGAGAAAATAAACAGTGAACACAATGTCAAGTCACAAATGAAGAGGCAATATCAATAATTAGTTCTAGGGTCCTGTCCGAGTTCCAAATTCAGTAATCTCTCACCTTTTTTTCTTTGAGAAAAATGGTTTTTCCACTTAAAGCTATTGCTTGACATTCCAATTAAATTTCCCTTGCTTGCCCTTTATTCAAAATGTCAAGATCGATTCATGCTTTGTTCGAACAATTCTTTCAGATTTTAAAGGACATTAAAAATTTTTGTTATATATATTTATTGTTGATACATATTCAAAATAATACTTTCTTTAAAATGAATAAATGTTCCTCTTTCCTTTAAAATAAGAAATAAATGACTAATATTTTATTTTTCAAAAGTCGTTCTTTTTAAACAATACTTATGAATCTGAATGAGGTTCTAGATAAGTTGGGAAGGAGGAGATTGTTGGAACAAGGCATGAATGTTTAGATCTGTGCTCAAGTTAACATATATATTATATATGCTGCAGATCTTTCTAGTCACTGGAAACTTGGTTACCAGAAAATAAATACAACAGTTAATATCCATTCAAACATTAGTTAAGCATTTTGTTTACCCCTTTACTCTTTGTTCCAGCACACAAATATGCGTTGTACTAAATACAACCCTGAAGTTAAAACAGAAAAAAATGTTTCTTATGACCCACATAGATCCAGGCTGATATTAAAAGTTGTATCAATTTTTAAGACTGGGTTGACTTTACAGATGCAGCACCTTTAAAACTGAAAGAAGTAGTAGGCAAGATTAGCAACACTTTTTAAAGTGGGAGCTTACACCTTCAAAACACATTGAACCAATTTTCTAGCGATAACAATAATATTTGCAACATACAGATGTTAACCCAATTATATAAAAATCTTATTATGATATAATTTATGTACATGACTGTACATGGACTTATTCAAACCTTACATAATGCTTATGTCTTAGATAAGTTAACTCAATTGTTGTCAAACTTTCACTATTACTAAGTTAAGAACATTGATCAAGTTTGTAAAATTCCTACTGAAAACTTTACTCATTCGGTGTAAGAAAGATATATTTAACCCTATCCCCGCTGGGGTACTTGAAAACCAGGATACGCTGGGGGGGGGTCAATTTGCCCCCCCCCCCCTCTAAATCCCATGTTTTATGTCCAAATATGACAAATGATACATCATTAGAAAGCTCTTGTGCTCTACTTTTAGAATCTGCAAAAAAATTTGCAAATTTGCGAAAATTGAATTTTTTATCGCAAAATCCAGTTTTATAGTAAAAATGTTTGCAAAAAAAAAATTTGTCCAAAAAATGACAAATTATACATTTTTGAAAAGCCCTTGACCATGCCATTTCAAATATGCAAAAAATTTTGCAAAATTTTAAATAACCTGATTTTTAATCAAGAAAAACTAAAAATGTGCAAATTTCCTTTGACAGGTTGTTTGCAAAAAATCTGCAATTCTAATTCGGAAAACTTGTGCAATCCGTTTCCTTATGTCATAGGCTTTCCAAAAAGCTAAATTTTATCAAAATCTGACAAGTGAAAGTGGGTCAAAACAAAGATTTAGTTTGCTACAGGCAAAAGCAGTTATTCAGGCAGTGTGCCTGAGGACTCAGGCAGTTAGTATTAAAGCCCGGTTTTAGGCCTAAAGGGAGGGCTTTGGGTATGTAAGAAAAGTCAGAAAATTTCAACAGCCTCAGACCAATACTTTTTGAGTTATGTAAAAAAACTACAGGGGGGGGTCAAATTGACCCCCCCCCCCCAGCGGGAATAGGGTTAAACTTCTTGAGAAGTCTAAAATTGTTTGGGATTGTCTTGGTAATATCTATTAATTCTCCATTTTAAAAGTTGCATTCTGTATACACATTTAAATCTTTTAAACAATGAAATTCCTCTCACATATGCTCTGACGAAGAACTAAAGGGTAACATTTGTGAATCAGGCAGATAAATATTCAAATACAAAATGGTTTCCCAATTGAAATTAGGTTGACTTAGTTAATTTTACATTAATTGAGTTTATTGAAAAGATAATTTTCATTGTAATTTATCCAATAATTTTAAAACTTGTGACATTGTCTTTCTGATTCAATTCGAGAAATATCTAAATAAATTTGTATAATCTCATACCTTTCTTTCAAATGCTTTCTCTTTTTTTAAGGTTCAAAAAATTATTGTTCGATTTTTTATATAATACCCTCTAAAATGTTCTTTGGCATGACACTGTGAGTGTGACAAACTTTAAGACATACTGACATTGCCAACAATACGATTAAACTAAACCTGTTCACACAAACTCTAATATTATAAAATCAATTTTCATCAATATATTTATTCAACTATTTGAAAAAAAAGAACAACAATTAAAAATTCATGACTAACTCTCACTGATTAAAATTTGAATGAATTTAATAATTTACCTAAATATCTATTGATTTCTGTATAAATCTAATTCTAACTCTATACACAAGAGATAACATTTAAAATCATGGATTCATTTAAATTAAACAAAAGGCGGAGAAAAGAGCAGAAGTGTATTCCACTAAATAAATGGGTGTGTCCAGATTCACTGTTTGTTCCTTCTCTCTTGAACCTTATGTTTTATCTTTATCCCTTTATGCTGTTCTTGTTTCATTCTCGCTTCTTTTCAAATCCGGAGAAAGAAAGGACTGCATCCCACCCCCTTTAACCACACCCATTTGTTTCTCAACTAATTTTATAATTTCACCCTAAAAAGCTTTTTCTCCGGATTTCAGACTCCAATCCAGTCCTCACAGCCAAGTTAAAGGGTATGTCCATCTACTGACTAAACCAGATTAATAACTAGCTAAATGCACATGAATAATGTGGGGATGCATAACTAATCAATTCTTCACTGTTATGCCAATCCATTTTATTCTTAAACCAGCACAGGGCTTTTTTCACTAGTTATTGCAATATTTGTATTAACACTGTCGTTTGAAAAATTGCCTAATTTATACTCTGTGCTTGACAAAACTATCTGTTTATTTTAAAAACTGGTTTAGTCGGTCTACCCTGCAGTGTACTGTACTCTCTACTGTAACATGTTGTGCACATTAAACGGTTTTTTAAGTAAATGTAAATCAAAACCGATTCTTGTTTACATTGCACAGTTAATATTACTGTACACACTGAACTTAGTTCATTGTTGTATTTGTTAGAATGAAAATGCACAAGCAGTAAATAGCGTTAGATTGTACAAATTAAACTGCTTTTAAGTATGCATGCATTCTTTCATGGGTTGTTAAAATGAAAATGCAACGCATAGCCATAATGTAACAAAAAGTAATATTTTAAAATTTCCTTTGAAGGTTTAAAATTGCATAATATCTTAAAATAACTACAATAAATTATTTTTTATCATTTCTGTGTGTGTGTGTGTTTTATTCCTTGAATTACTCAAACTGCTTCAATATTAGTTTCCCAAATTCTGAAACTTTCAATTATTTACTGGAAAAAATAACAATTTGAAAATTTAAAGGAATTTTACAGTTTTATTAGTATTGTGAAGAGGACATACATGAAGTAGGGTAAACTTTATTTAATTTGAACAGGTCTGTTCTTCATAATGTTGCATGACATTATAGCATTGAATTCATAACTGAAGTTTTTAATTTTGCAGATATTAAATCTTTTATGAATAACTAAACCTATATTTTTGATAATTAAAAATAAATTGGTCGATTTTATAGTTTTTGAATATATTGCACTATTTATGTTTATATTTCACCAAACTAAGTATTAGTAGTTAACATGATAATATTTTTGTTTAGCATTATTTTTGCTACATAAAATTAATGTCAAATTTTGTACATAGATTACCAAACACATCTAAATGAATCTTGCTTAACCCAAGGTTTCATAATCTTTAAGAAAGCTTTCACAGACTTTGCCTTTATATCTTTTATTTTTAAATGCTTAGCTAATTTTTAAACATATCTTAAGTAAATATGTAACAAACTTACTTCAAAACCTACCCAATTCACCAATCCACACTTGTAAATATCATTTAACAAAATTTATTCCCATCCTTTTCATTTTCTATACATACTCCGAAAAGATTTCACTTTATATTGATGAGTATCTTGTTAGTTTAGCATTATTATAAGTTGTCCTAGATAGTGTTTACATGTTTGTGTTGTTGTAAATCTATTAAATATACAAAATATCAATACTGACAGAACTCAAAACAATGAACATTAAACATGTTTCACTCATGGGGTCATACAAACAAATATGGGTGTTATGGGACAAATTGGTTTATCATTAAGGGTTGATAAAAAGATATCTGAGCTGAAAACTTTAGAATGGTGGATATCAGGATTAAGGCTTAATCCACTCTTTTTCTTAATCTGCAGATTAAATATTGCTTGTTCTCCACTCATTTTTAATCTCCAGATTAATTATCCGATCAGGATTAAGGATATCCCATTCAAAAGTTCCCATCTCTGTTGAAACAATGTTGATTTTTGATGAACATGGTTAAAGTTGAAGACTTCTTAATAAGTTTGTATGGTTTTGATTGTGGTTAGTAAACTACTTTTATGGATGAATGTTGTGTGACAACTTCAAATCATCTCACATTAATAATATGCTTTCTAGCATTTCTTTTACATTTCTCTCTAAAAACAGCTTTTCCCTTTACCTAAATATGCTCATAATTATATTTTATTGTTAAAAAGTCTCCATAATAACTGCAGTTTACTTCAGATATTCTATAAAATTTCTTTATTTAAAAGTCAATGGTGAATTCTTTTATGTTTTCAGTAATTTGAATTAAGTCTTAAATTTACCTTAACAAGGCAGAATGAGACTTAGTAATCATAACCTATGCATAGTGTGGTGTCTCTTACATAGTGATCTAGTTTTATGTTAAACCATTTCTGTTGTTTCTCTGGTTTCCTTATCCCCTAGTTAGTGCTGAGTATTTATTATATAGGGATCTACTGAGACTCAATGTGGGAAGGAATCATCTAAGTGAGATCCCTCGGGATGCAATTGTATCACTGAAAAACCTGAATCAACTAGATTTATCTGAGAATAAGATCGAACATATCAAGCCTGGGGTCTTCCAAGGTAGGAAAAAAATAGGATAAAAGAATTTGGTGGAACTAAGTTGATAATTAAGGTTTTCTCATTTTGATTTTTTTAGTTTTCTTTAATATGTGGTAAACCAGACGTATGAATTTTAAAATAGTTTTAATGTATCCAGGCTATTTTCTTATCTGAGTGAAAAAATTGTTTTAAAAATTAAAGAACCTATAAAAAAATTTTATCATTTATATTTTGTATCCAAAATATAAAATGTAACTTTTATTACAAATGAAAATACCTGTTCAGAAAAGTTTATAAATTGACTGATGTATCAAATCAATAAGTCTCCGGATTTCTTGTCAAATATCAAATATCATTTCAAATCTACAAAAGAAAAAGATTACAGATAGATTTGGTTGCATAAAATGAATTAACAAAATTAATAAACTTCTGAAAATGTTTTTAAAAATATGTTTACAACAAAAATAACATTTAAATTTTTTATTACTACTAATAAGGTAGGACTTTATAAATACAAAGTAAACAGCCTTTGATCACATATTTTTGTTTAAAGTTCCTCAGATCTGGCAATGGGTTAAACTCCAAAAATGTCAAATTTATTGCATTATTGCATTTATTTTGAAATTCGTGTTTATCTCATATTTTATGTATCTTGAAATATGTGTTTACATGTTAAAAAATCAATTATTTAGGTATGGATAGATTAGATACATTGACCCTAAACCACAACTACCTGCAGGAGCTTGGTCCAGGAGGGTTTGAAGGATTATCCAAACTAACTTCTCTTAGCCTAGATTACAACAAGATAAATACAATTGATCCTGAAGCATTTAAAGGATTAGAAGGTAATTTATTCTACTCTTCATTTTTTCATGGAAAATTTTAAACCTTTGATATATTCAGTAAGAATTCCAAATTCCTAAAGAAAATCTAATTTAGAACAAATGCAGTCTTTATCAATGACAAACAACAAGCTGACAAGCTTACCCACCTCGGCTCTGAGACCCCTACACCAGCTGACTACACTTCATCTTGATGATAACAACCTTCACCAGTATGTATATTGCATAGTCACTATTATCTTCATAATAACAGGTTTATGAGTACCTTTATGAGCACCAGTATGTATATTGTATAGTCACTATTATCTTAATAATAACAGGTTTATGAGTACCTTTATGAGCACCAGTATGTATATTGTATATTCACTATTATCTTAATAATAATGAGGAAAATTTAGTTGTTTTTATTTCGGACAGAGATCAATTCTGTCAATATTTTACTCCATATCTCTGCTTCAGAAATATAAAATTCAATCCTGATTGAAAATTATCCAATTTCAGATAACAGAAAAAACACAAGAAAATCTTTGTCAAGTCTTCTCAGACAACGGGTTTATGAGTACCTTTATGCAAATTTTCAAAAGTTGTTCAATTGCCTCAACAGTCCCATTAAATATTAGCTGGTTGCTCTGTTGAATTTTGATCATGCTTATGCAATTTAACAAATGGATACTACATAGTTAAGTAAAAATAATTTTAAATGAAATTTTTCGAACTTTAGTTGTTAAAAAAAATTCAAAGAAAAATGTTTGTTGTGAATGTGAGAGTAAATATAAGATGTTTTAACACATGTTTTGATAGAATTTATTATTTGAATTAAATTTACAAAATATTTACAATTTTGGTTTTTTTTACAAAAACTTCATTCTTTGATATAAAATGTTTATGTATTTTAAATTCTTGATCTAGATGTAAGGGAAAGATGAATAATATAATATTTGTAGAACCTTCAATGTTCTTCGTTAGTACAATCGTTGTATTTTCCATATAGTGTACATTGACTTTATACCAATGTTTCATGAAAGTTGTATAGCGCTTGCGCAAACTGATTTCTACACAAATTGCCCAAATTATATGCAGACGGTTCTTATATTAAAAATTTCTATTCAATCCGCACACCCTCTTATCATCAATGACTTATTATATGCATTTAATGTTCTACTACTTCACTGGTGCACTCTTCAATTTATATGTCTTGCAGGATCCAAGTATCCTTAAGTCCAAATTTTTAATTTAAGAAATGTATGTATTTAACCCTCATACAAATCTCTCAAAAAAAATGTAAACGAATTTGTCATTAAGCTTCATTGAACACATGTAAACTATTTTGTATTTATTTCACAAATCTAGAAAAATGTAAACGAATTTGTCGTTAAGCTTTATTATTAAACACAAGCAAACTATTTTGTACAATTTAAATAAGAAGACAATAAATATTTAGATTTCAAAAAATATTTTGTTTTAGGTTGGAAGAGGGAGCGTTTCAGGGATTTGGGGAACATATTAAGAACTTGTGGCTTCAGAATAACCAGTAAGTTTCTTGAATTTTCCATAATGTACTTTCCTATAACTCAATTTTAAATGATTGAGTTTAACGTTTAATTTTTCTCACGGGAAAAGTTTGTGTTTGTTTTTAATTTCTTTAATACAGTCATATCCCCTAAAGCCTTAAATTGCTGTCAGCAATAAAATGGATGAAATTGTTTCGTGTTAACTTACAGTTTGCCCAGGATAGTTTTGTTTAGCATTGGACCATTGCATTTTTTAAACTTGGCTTGTATTAAACCCTTTTATTCATTTGTTAAACAAATATTTTAAATTAATTCTGAAATAAGAATATAAAAATATAAGAATAAAAGAATTTACCTATATCATCTGGTAATTTTCAAACAAATAAACAAAGTAATGTTATAATTATATTGAATTTATTTATCATATTTAACATGAAATAGGGGAGTTTTGATTTTAAATCTGAGCCTGTATTGTTTACAGTTACTGTTAATAGATATGAAAAATACAAGTATCTACATGATAATCAAAATCGTGTTTAGTATCTCCTTGATACCACTGACCACATTTGATGACCTACACTCCATTGAGTGGTTGAAGCTATACAACAATGAGCTGACCACACTCCACTACGAACTCATGGAACCTGTTCTAGATACACTCAAGCATATAGATATTCATAGTAAGCAAGATTTTTTAAATTTTATCTTAAAGTTCAGTTCACTTTTAAACTAATTAAAATTGTTTGGGTAAGCAGTGAGTTTCACTGTTATAAATGAAACTACTCATAATACCATGGATAGTCCTTTCTTAATACAAATATTAATAAATATGAATTTTCAAACACAAAAACTACACCTTTATTGATTTAAAAAATGAAGCAAGCTTAATTTTTCCTAATACCCTGAACCATAGGTAACCCGCTTATCTGTGATTGTGAGATGAGGTGGTATAAGAAATGGTTTAATGCTGAATGGCAGGTTAGAACAATTATATTTTACAATTGAAAGTTAGTAAGTCCTAATTAAATAATTTGTTTGTATTATATTATGAAACTTAGAAGGTGAAAATGCATTTTGCATATCAGAGTCTATCTAGTCAAGCTCTGTCACTAAAATAGTGTTCAGTATTAGACATGTATTTCTTAATTAAAAGATGCTTATTTAACGCATGCCTGGAAAATGGTAGCTGATTTCCTATATTTTAAAAACAAAGCAAATTGTATTTGTTGCATGGATAAATCTGTCTTGTGTTGTTATTATATATGTATAGAAATTATTTACATAAAAATATAAAGCTGTGAAAACAGGATTGTTACAACACTAAAACTTTGATATTTTTTTTAAGCTTAGGTCATGAGTATACAGAATTGGTGACAGTAAAATGCATAAAAATATTTTTATTCCCTGCCTTATAATTCCTGTTTGCATGTTAACTGTTGAGAATGACACTGTCATGATACATAATTTGTAAAATTGTAAAAACTCCATCCAAAATCCAGTGAAGTCCTACAATTGTTAAAAATTTGAGACATTAAAGTATTGTATTATTATTGTCCTTTAAGGTAAGCACAAAACTACATAAGAGTGACCCAAATTCAATTTGTTCTTTAATAGTATAGGAAATTAATTAATGTTTCTAAGATCTGTACCAAATCAGGGATCTCATTGGATTTTCTGTTCTGAATGATTTTCAAAGTTTTATAATTTCTCAAACATCAGCCTAAACCCCCCTTTATTTTTCACAAACACTTCATGAGCAGATTCATTACATTGTTTTTTCTAACCTTTTACAAAGAGGTTGAAAAGCAACTAATGTGTTCAGCTCTAAACTGGAAGGTTAAACACTCAACGAGATGATATTTAGGAGATTGATCAAGATTATATAAAAGCAACTCATTGTGTTGATCCTGAGGATGGTAGGGAACATCTTATATCTCAAGTATCCCTGAATCACATGTACTGTATACCTGCTGCAGCCCTATCCTCTAGTGCTGGTGTGTACTGTACATGGTACATGCTCACCCAGCTTCTGGTTACACTGCTTTATATTTAATTCATATAAGGTAGATAAGGTTAAACTAGAGATGGACATTGTTGCCTGGTTCATTTTTGAATAGTCAAGATTTTAGGTTTAAATCGTTAAGAGGCTTATTTAGCAAGAATCTGAAATCTTTAAAGATGTCAAAATTGTATTCTCTTGAACGTGTCAATCACTTAGCTCAAAAAATGCATAACACATATTTTGTTGAATTTTAGAATTTTTTTAAAATGAGAATTTAAAACACATTGAAAATGACTTTGACAAAAGATTAAACCAACCAATTATTTTTATTGGCTTTGGAGTAAAAATTTAACAATAAGTAAACTTTATGCAATGCAAACAATCTTAAAATAATTTGAAAATCTCAGATTTTCGAGGATCCTCTTTAACATGCAAAAATCTTGAAATTTTGAGAACGAACCAAAACTATGTCTTTGTTTAGGTTAAACACATCTTTTAATGATCACTCAAAAGTTCTTTCAGGCTTTTTAATTTTCTTTGCACAATGCTTAATTATATTGGATCCAAATTGAACCACCTTTTTCAAATTTTCTTTAAATCTATCAATTTTTAAGAATAAAACAATTAGAATATTTTAAAAAAGATTTCAAGAAAGTTTAAAAATGTTTTATAAAGAATACAAGTTGTTTTCTCATGTCACATGCACAATTTAACAATAAACATATTAAACAGAGTCAAAATTGTTTATCAAAATAGTTAACTATTAAGGCACAATCTTTAATGATAAAGATATTCAAGAAGGTCTAAATCAGCATTGCATAGAACACTTTAACATCTAGATTCTGCTATCCTACAAGCTGTTAAATTAGAACATGAATTCTTTAATCTTTATTCAATGCACTTTATGATTAATTATTTTTCACTGATTTAGCACCAACTTATTCTTCCTTTAGTAACACCCATTCATTAGACTTCCTTGCAGTTTCAGGATAAGAAGATGACGAACTTGTTATGCATGAACTGAGTGTTGTTTTTTCAGTAAAAAGTATAACAAAGTTAATTAATAAAACTCCAAGAGGAGATATAGGTTCATATCATTAAGTAATTTTAGGCACAGAAATTAAGAATGAATGGCAACATGAAGAATTTAAAATTAATCTAAATTGAAATTTTTGATATTACTTCAAAATAATCTTATAACATTTTAAACTTACATGTATTTATATACTTTTAGCATGCATGTATATTGTACTTTGTACACCTTTTTAAAACAATTTTAGAAATTACAATTTTAACAATTCAAACTCAGGACAGGAGGCTGGAAGACATTCCTTAAATTATGTATTCATGATAAACAAAGTGCATTAGCAAGCTTGCTCTGTAATACAGTTTTTCTTCAAGTTTACTTAAAAACTGCATAAAATGTGTGCTGGAATGAAATCTAAGGATGTTGTTTACTTACAGTTTGCATCTTAAACTTTATAATCTCTACTTAACAGAATTATAAACTTTTTCTGACCTCCAAGTATCCCCTTCTTCTCTCTAGGTCTATTCTATTATTAATCCAATTTATCTCACTTATACAATCTTTTTCTGAATTTCATTTAAATATTTAGGAGATTGATCAAGATTACATAAAAGCAACCCATTGTGTTGATCCTGAGGATGGTAGGGAACATCTTATATCTGAAGTATCTCTGGATCATATGTACTGTATAGCACCAGAAGAATCCTCTTCTCCAGGTGCAGGATTGAGTACTATGCCTAGTTTACACCAGGAACTTGCAGCTCTACTCTTACATTGCCTTTTATATGTATATGTCCAGTACTGAACAACATGAACTAAACCTAGATAAATATATTAACCCAGTGAACTTCGGGTCTCAGAGCCAAGAAAAAGTGAATAAAAGACATAAATGGTTGGTTACAAGATTAAAATATAACCTAGGAAACATTGAAAATAGGAATATTTTAAACAATGTAGAAGTAAAAATTGAACACCCTGATCTGTGAGTGTACTGCATACTATTTACAATAAATACAATCTTACAATACATTGTATATTGTATACTTAATAGAACTATACAACATATTTTGTAATCTAATATATTGTATGTTTTATAGAACCATACAATGTAAACTTGTATGTATATTTCATCTTGTATATTATATACTTTATAAAACTATAGCTACACTATAAAATGTTAATGTCGAATCTTTCTCTTTCTTCTTTACTCTCAGCTTAGCTCTAAGTCCCAGGGATAAGCTCCATGTTATGGATTTTTAATAATGCTGAAAAAGTCGAGAAATTTCATTTCTCAAATCTGAAATTCTTAAAACAAGAAATTAGCAGAAACAAATCTAATTTTTTTCTCACTAATTATTTTAACATGTTATTTATTTATAGATATGTATTATTATTATTGTTGTTCTCTTCTCTATGATGGTCTAGAATTAATTAGGATACAATCTAAGCTGTCCTGCTGTACACTGTACTGCGTACATATATTGGGCAAGGAAAATATGCCAGGAATCTCCCTGTTCCGTTAAATCTAAGTACTGCAGTGGAAGGAGATCAAAACAATGAATCAAAATGGTTTTTTTAAGGGATGGGGAATATGCTATTTTGAGTAAAACTTATCACAAATTTGTATATATTAAATGGGGTTTAATTTAAAAAAAGCATATTTATTTTATTTTTTTAGACATTATTGGTCCCAGAGAGTACATAATTTGAATACATTAGATTTTGGGGTTTCCTGGTGTAAGGAAAGGTTTTCCATGGTTTAAAACCAAAATAATGAAATGGATTCACTTGTACATACCTCACAATTATAGTGTTATTTTGAATTCAGATTTATAACTTTAAAATATTGTATCTTTAATAACGAATGAAAAATATAAATTTTTTTTTCTGACGCAAAGATTGCAAATGAGCAACGTCATGAATACTTTCTTCTATATTCAGAAAGAGAACAGTTTAATCAATAGAATCTATATTTAAATTCTTTAGAAAACATCCCGTCAATGCTGTTTTTAACCTGTCAATATTTAAAAAAAAAAAACTTTTGCAAAATTAATTAAATGTTCTTGCTTGCAGAAGACTGCTGGTTATTGTTTAGACTTCACTAAAAAGTGAATTTTGCAGTTTTCTTAAACCAATGTAGAATTGAATTCAACTTTTAATCTTACTCTTATCAACAGTTTTAATTTGTATAATTTAAATCTCTAAATGCTTCTGTATTCTATATCAAGTAGGGATTTATAAACTGAAAAGAAGTTTCATTCCCTCATCTGTGCTTTGGGCATATGCCCCATTGACATCTATACCTTTGGTTTATAGTTATCTTATTTTGATAATGCGCCTAATAACAAATTTTAAGACTCGAGCAGTGTATAAGGTTTAACCTACATCACATATTTCTTATTTTAAATGTGTGTATACAATGTTATTTTCAATGTGATAAATTCTGACCATTATTATCCTGTTTCTCCGCCCTTGAACTATATATTGTACATACATAATACATATCCAGTGTTTTCTTTTTAACAATTTTGAAATAAATGTTCATAAACCTAGTCTTTATTCCTTCCACAGCCCATTATAGGTCAGTTTTTAGTGGTATGTTGCTCTTGGACATTTGTCATGATATTGTTAAAAAAAACATGAATCTGCACTCTGATTAGATGAATAAACAATTAAAGTATGGAGGAAATTTTAGAGTTAATGAAACACAATTTGAAGAACTTTCTACCAGCAAACATTCAAGTATCCACATGTGACAGATAAAATTCTGTTTGTATTTAATATTGAGTAAATTGATAATATAAATATGAATTTTTTTGACAAGAAGAAAAGTTTTCAACGGACTTAAAACCAAAAACTAATATCATAGTTTGAATTCAAAACATGATTTGGATTTTAACATATTTTACTCGTTTTTTTTCTTCTTTTTTTCTTCTGAAGAATTGATATTTAGAATTACTCTCTTGAAATAATATTAAGTGTTCCATTTAGGTATTTAATTATTAAATATTTCACTGTAAAGATTTATTTCTAAGTATTATTTCTAGCTAAGATATAAAAAATATCAAAATCATCTCTTAGGGTTAACCCAACCCTAGCTTCTGGTCCTCTTCCAACCAGTCCTGGAGACACAACAAATTAAATGATAATAATGGAGACACAACAAATTAAATGATAATAATGGAGACAGAACAAATTATTGATAAAAATGGAGACAGAACAAATTAATGATAATAATAAAGACACAACAAATTAAATGATAATAATGGAGACACAACAAATTAAATGATAATAATGGAGACACAACAAATTATTGATAAAAATGGAGACAGAACAAATTAATGATAATAATAAAGACACAACAAATTAAATGATAATAATGGAGACACAACAAATTAAATGATAATAATGGAGACACAACAAATTAAATAATAATAATGGAGACAGAACAAGTTAAAGGGACAGTAAAGGAAAAATGAAAGGGGGTATAGGCTGAAAGCTAATCACTTTAGCCCTTGATCGCAACCCATGAAAGTTATATCTGATGTTCCTGTCTCGAGAAATTGATATAAAACTGTGTCAAATATATACGAAAATTAATATATATACAATTTTGTATAAAAGTAGTAGGTTTAAACAGATCATATTCAGCAAATAAACAACCAATCTGAAAACGATGATATCCCAGAGAAAGCTAATTGTAAATTAGGTTTACTTTTATATTCGTTATTTCTATTTTCAATAGATTTCATTCATAATATTATTTTTACGTCCGTATTGCTTGACCAGAAATTCCACCAATGGCAGTGCAGTAAAGAGGTCACGTGATACAGGCGGACACACATGACCAGTATACTGCTCTGCCATTGGTGATAGTTCTGGTCACGTGATTTAAGTTTCAGATTTTCAAAATTTTACATATATGAATTTCGTATAATTTTAACACAGTTTTACATCAGTTTCTCGAGACAGGAACATCAGATAAAACTTTCATGGGTCGCGATCAAGAGCTAAAGTGATTAGCTTTCAGCCTATACCCCCTTTCATTTTTCTTTTACTGTCCCTTTAATGATAAAAATGGAGACACAACAAATTAATGATAATAATAAAGACACAACAAATTAAATGATAATAATGGAGACACAACAAATTAAATGATAATAATGGAGAAACAACAAATTAAATGATAATAATGGAGACCACAACAAATAAATGATAATAATGGAGACACAGCAAATTAATGATGATAATGGTGACACAACAAATTAAATAATAATAATGGAGACACAACAAATTAAATGATAATAATGGAGACACAACAAATTGAATGATAATAATGGAGACACAACAAACTAAATGATAATAATGGAGACACAACAAATTAAATGATAATAATGGAGACACAACAAATTAAATGATAATAATGGAGACACAACAAATTAATGATAATAATAAAGACACAACAAATTAAATGATATTAATGGAGAAACAACAAATTAAATGGTAAGAATTGATATTTCGATTAATTGCATTGGGTTGAAAACAACAAAAAAAACCTTAATCAGTGTACCACCCCTTTAGTTATTGACCTATAAATAAAATAAAAATATTGTAAAATCTAGTACAGAAGAAATTATTTTGGAATAACTTCCATTACTCTTATAATGTAGATATAAATGATTTTAAGAGGAAAAATTTCTTTGTATTTTATGGACTGGTTTGATTTAGGGTTTCCACCGAACGAAACGTTTCGCGAAAAAATGCAAATTTTTTCACAAAATTTCGCATTTTTTCTCGAAAATAAATGAAGCAAAATTTTGCGAAAATGCGAAAATTTCGCATTTTACCGTGAAAAAAATCAAGCAAAAATTTTGCGAAATGCGAAAATTTTTTGAAAACCATAAGTTTTATTGCTGCAACAATTAATTGCTCAAAAGAACTTGTGCTATTCTCTGCTCTCATAGCTCAATATTAGAAGTTTTATCTGTATCTTTTAAGTTTCTGACTTCGCATTTCCGCATTATTTTTTTTTCGCAAAATGTTTTCAATATTTTTTTGCATCATTGTTTTGCCTTTTTTTGCAAAATTTTAGCATTTCTATTTGGCAAAATTTTTTGAAAAAAGCAAAATTTTTTTGCAGTTTTCGCGAGCCAAATAGTCGCAGAAAAAAATTTTCGCAAAATGTTTTCATTATTTTTTTGCAAAATTTCCGCATATTCTTTTTAGCAAAATTTTGTGAAAAAAGCGAAAAAACGTTGCAGTTTTCGCGAGCGAACGAAATGCGAAAATGAAGCCAGATAGGCGCAGAAAAAATTTTGCGAAAAATTTGAAATTTTCACAAAATGATTTTTCCTTTTCGCTGGAAACCCTAGTTTGATTGTATTCAGCTGTACAGCGGCATGCAGGCAAGGAGAGAAGGAGGGTTTGTTTACTAATGAAGCCGGGGATCAGGTATCTCCCCCCCCCTTCCCCTGCCCTCACTTCCCCTCTGGTTTGTTTGATATTTCTAGAGACCAATTTATCTGGAAATGAATCTGTGATTTTTTTATCTTCTCAGCGACACAGAAAATCCCAGTAAATGTGATGAAAAACTCTCTTCTTAATCTAGTAGTACTTTCATCGTATATAATGGGGATACCACCTAGTGAAAATAAACATCTTAATAAACATTAAGTCTTTGTCACAAACTCAAATTTTCCATTTTGTAGACATTTCATAACACGAACTCTGCTATATCAACTATATTAACTTAGTTCCGAAATATTATTTATTTAGGTCTGAAATATTATTTACATAGTTCTGAAATATTATTTACTTAGAACTAAAATATTATTTACTTAGTTCTGAAATATTATTTACTTTTTTCTGAAATATTATTTGCTTAGTTCTGCAATATTTATTATTTACTTAGTTCTGAAATATTATTTACTTAGTTCTGAAATATTTTTTACTTAGTTCTGAAATATTTTTTACTTAGTTCTGAAGTATTATTTACTTAGTTCTGAAATATTATTTACTTAGTTCTGAAATATTATTTACTTAGTTCTGAAATATTATTTACTTAGTTCTGAAATATTTTTTACTTAGTTCTAAAATATTATTTACATTGTTCTAAAATATTATTTACATTGTTCTGAAATATTATTTACATAGTTCTGAAATATTATTTACTTAGTTCTGAAATATTATTTACTTAGTTCTTAAATATTATTTACTTAGTTCTGAAATATTATTTACTTAGTTCTTAAATATTATTTACATAGTTCTTAAATATTATTTACTTAGTTCTGAAATATCATTTACTTAGTTCTGAAATATTATTTACTTAGTTCTGAAATATTATTTACTTAGTTCTGCAATATTATTCATTTAGTTCTGAAATATTATTAACTTAGTTCTGCAATATTATTTATTTAGTTTTAAAATATCATAAACTTGGGAAAAATATGAATATTAAAAAAAAAGATTTTGTCGTACAAAACTGTGATTTGATAAAAAAAAAATTATAAGAGTATATGGAAGGCCTTAAAGGACATTAGCCTTTAATGGAAGTCTGTGTGCGGTAATTACAGAAATCACTTCAATATTGGCAAATTATGATCACAAATTTTACTTATACATAAAGAAGAAATTAATATAGAATTTAAAAACCAAAGTCTTTCATATCTTTTATTTTTTTGATAGTTTTCTTGGTTAACACCCTACAGACTTTTCTGTATTACAAATAAAAACCTATTTATTTTCTTTAAATTGGCATAAAAATCAAGGCATGATTTCACATGAACTGACCCTTTTAAGAATTTATCAATGATTTTAATATTTTCATCAGTTTCTGCAAATTTTATGACTTGTTCCTTATTTAATGTTTTTTTTAATTTAAGTTTGCTGATTTTTATCCGTTTCACACATGTTTGGTTAATTTCTTATTATTTGAATGAACTTCTGAAACCTCAGGACCAAATTTTGGATAGGACCTCAATGGCTCAAGGAAAGGTTTACTTGGAACATCTAAATCTGAGAAAAAAAATTCTGGAAAATAGTTGGTATCTTTTCCTTGAAAATGCGCCGATTTGAAAAAAAATCCGCAAAAATTTGAAAATTATTTTAAATGACCGTCTTATAGAGCAACAGTTAAAAGCTGAAATTATTTACAGGAAAAGGCAAAGCGACCTGAAAGCCTAGTATCATAAATCAGTTGGTTCTTAGAAAGGATGACATCACATAGAAAAGCTGAGATTGTCACCCAAATCTAGTTTTAAAACAAAAAATATTTCTAGTTTTACTTGATTCATTATTATTCTTCATTGATTTAAATACTGAGTTTGTTAATGCACTGCAACAAACTTTTTGTTAATAGTGAATAGATCTTCTATAAAGTTCAGTTAGCAGAAAACCAATATTAGTTTGTTCCAAAAAATAATGGAGAAAATAATGTCAGAATGCATAATGAAGTTTTTAATACTGAATAGGCATGAAAACAATAATGACAATTTGCTCATGTAGCATTGCCTTCACTCAAAACTACATTGACTTCCATAATTATAGGTTTAAAACATTTCATATTATTGAATATACTTACTATTAAGGTTTAGGTATTTTTAACTGAATCCAAATTAAAATTTTCTTTTGATATTCTATCCTTTTGTATGTTACCATTTCTTTAGGAGCGCGCATGCCGCAAAACACGTTTGGGTGGCGTTTGTTTACTTTTTCTCTCCTCCCCCCCCCCCTCGTACAGAAAGTAAAAATTGACAAAATAAAGTACATTTATGCATGTAAACGCAACTGATTCAGACAAATATCAGAATTTACTGCTTACATAGATTCCTATAACTACGTTCTGAAGAATACACCCCGAGGGAGTCTTTCAAATCATTTTAAAAATTCTAGAATGTGAAAGGCATATTTGACATAAATATGAAGTTTATGGTTAATTTTCAAATCAAGTTCTCACTTATACATTCTTTTTTCTGAAAAACTAAGTTGATAAAAATAATTAGGAGATTGATCATGATTACATAAAAGCAAAGGTATGTTGATCCTGAGGATGATGGTAGGGAACATCTTATATCTCAAGTATCCCTGGATCATATTTACTAGGGTATACCCGTATTTCCCTTGCAGATTGGAGCATCATACCTAGTTTACACCAGGAGTTTACTGTAGCATCATACCTAGTTTACACCAGGAGTTTACTGGAGCATCATACTTAGTTTACACCAGGAGTTTACTGGAGCATATGCCTAGTTTACACCAGGAGTTTATCGGAGCATAATACCTAGTTTACACCAGGAGTTTACTGGAGCATCATACCTAGTTTACACCAGGAGTTTACTGGAGCATCATACCTAGTTTACACCAGGAGTTTACTGGAGCATCATACCTAGTTTACACCAGGAGTTTACTGGAGCATCATACCTAGTTTACACCAGGAGTTTACCGCTTTTATCTTACATTGCCTTTTATATTCATATGTCTAATACTGAGCAACATGAACTTACATATTATGTTTTAAAAAATCTAAATGATTTTTGTGAATTCGAAAAAATTTAAAATTATGTTTTTTATTTTTTTACCAATTTACTAATTGACTAGCATTTATGTCAATTATGTTTTTTTCTTCAGACCTTTTTTTTACTCTCAGGCCGCAATTTAAATACTTGCAGTAAAATTAATCTCAAGACCAATCTGCTAATGAGACCTGAATATGGCTCGAGGCAAGGAACTATATACAGGAACGCCAAACTCAGATATACGCAAATTATGTACTCTACTCTGTGGGAGGATGTCATATTACAGTCTAACAATAACAAGTTAATATAACAAGTTAGAGCGAATACTTAGGATTTTTGGCTTTCTGGTCAATATGGAAAATACAACAGCAATATATTCTTATTCCACCCACGTGGATTTAACGGTTCTGTCAATATTCCAAAAAGGTCTGAGATTCGATCTAAATTTGACCCCTTAAACATAATTTGCTGGCCCATTTTTTAGTACTTTTTTGTCGGCACAACATTTGTTAATGAAAAAGAAAAAACAAACAAATCCTTAAGTTTAAAGGTTGTTGAATTATCGGCCAAAACGCGTTTGTTTTCAAATAGAAGAAACCGAATGGTTCTCACTCTGGTTAGTCCGGTGTGCACCCCTTGCCCTTGGGTCCTTTTCCCTCAAAAATGATGCGTTGCCCCTGAATTCTTTGTTTTAAGGAAGAAAATTTTATATACTGACTGATCATCTTCCCCTGGTATCAGCTCTCTCACGTGTTTCTCCGCCATGGTCCGCCCGCCAGCAACGCCAATTATCCTATATCTCAGAATTCACCAGTGATCTCCGCCATACGCCTGGAGCTGCAAATGTAGTGGCTGACAATCTCTCCCGTCCTCCTCCACAATCCCCCCCTGATCCACAGCTGCCTCCTTCCCCTGAAGTTAAGGTGTCTGAGGTGTCTGAG